CTCGCACGAGCTGAGGCGACCAAACTGAAACTCTCCAGTCGAACCATGCCCTGTACGATCTGAGGTATGGGCTGTATGACTTTCTTCAGACTGGCTGCCGAACAGATATCGAGCAATCTGTCAGGATTACGGTAAGGCCATTCCATGTAGGAAATGCTGATGCTAAGGGAGCGAGTGAATGCTTGACCGGTAGACGACGATTCCACAAACTTTGCGATCTGAGCCTTTGTCAATGATATATCGGTATAGAGCAACTCATAGCCTATTTCACGCCACACCCGGCAGACAGTGAACGTCTTGAGGAGGGAGGGTGGACGCCGACACGCATCGAAATCTGCTTTGAGGTGAAGCAACACCTTGCGCACCAGTTCCGCAGGAAGATTGTCGGCCATGACACTGCGCGGCGGCAAGACAATGGAAAGGGAGTGTGGGTATAGAATGTCTACACGCCGTCATGTAAAGCCGCGCGGAGAGAGAGAAGGACGGCGGGAGAAAACCAGCCTGAAGGGTCTTAAGCAAGACCAGGCAGATAGGTGGAAGTGAGAAAAGTGAACGAGCACCTTTCCGTGATTGCTTTGCCTACCTTGTGAAGTCTACCAAGCGCAGCCCAGAGCTTCGTGCAAACCGACCTGTAGTTTCAGAATTGTACCGCGCCTCGATGGCTGAAGGCGTCTCTTGTGTTCAGTATCGTCCTGGAAAGCACCCTGCACTGGTGAGTGTCCGTGACAGCCTCCCATGTATTGTCAACGAGTTTCCGTCTCTTGAAGAGCCTTTTCTACTCCCAGCGTCGTTCCACAGTGTCGTTCGGTCAGCACCGAGGCAAAGGTCTGTATTGGCGCGACGAGTTTGTTATGGCACAGGGTGCATTCTGTTTGGGCATATTCTAGGCGGGTCTTCACCATCCGGACAAAAGCCCAATTGAACAACACAGATTCTCAGAAAGGATGGAAGTGGAGCTGGAGCGATATTAATTAACGACTGCGAGGTTGGGGCTACGGGGTCGCCCACTACTCCTACCTATCGGGTCCGTGAGTGTCCTATCACTTCGGGCGATTCGACATTTCACCCCTGCTAATGGGGGCTAGTCGATGGGCCACTACTTGTAGTTCTTAGTTAGGCCTTGAGTCTACTTAAAGAACCCCATATCGAATTTCGATGCAGGGGGCAAAGGGGACAGGCCTGCGCGGCCTTGTGGGTAAGCAAAACATACTACTCGGTACTACAAGGGGACTTTCGGACGAGGCACTTTTCGAGCGGTTTGCCCACGGCGCAGCCTCCTCCATGATCATTACCATTATTAGTGGATGTAGGTATATAAATGTTTTATGGTCTTTGGGGAGTTTCTATGGGTCAAACTTGCCATCTTCAAAGGCCTTGTGCTCCCTTTCAATCTCGAGCCTGACCCACACATAAGAAACGGCCGCCCAGATGGCGATATAGGAGAAAAGAACACCCAGCGAGAGTCCGAATGCGTAGTGGAATTCCAAGGTCCAGATGACGGCCGACACACACCCGATGTACGTGCACACGCCCAGGAGCCACCACCAGGTCAGGTAGCGGAACATGTGTCGAAAGGCCTTGTTATTCTCATAGCGGTCGTTGTAACGGACGCGGAATTCGCGGTCCTGCAGACCGTCGACGGCGATGAAGTCTTCGGCGGCGTAGTAAATGAACGGACGCAGCTTGGTGCCGCGAGGCTGCGAATTGATCCCAATGGGAATCTTGATGGGGAGGATCTCGGTGATGAGCATCAGGATGCCCAGAAATCCCATGATGAAGGTCGGCGAGTAGAGGTACAGATGGGGTAGCACCAGAGAGCTGCCGACGACGAAGGGGATCAGGGCCAGGATCATGGCGACCCCGTAGACCCACGACGTGGCATCCAGCTCCCACTTGCTCCTTGACAACAGGGGGGCGCAGTCTTCGGTGTGCACGAACAGTCTGTACACCCGTGCAATCAAGATCCAAAGCTCGCCGGCGCCGAACGAGATGATGGCGTAGCCAAGAATGTTTTCGTCGTATTCAGGTTTGGGGATTGGACACTCCCGTGGCGTGCTGTTGAACTGCTCGCGGCATTCTCTCTCCCAGCGGTGTTTGTGGGAGTTGTACCATGTGTAGTAGATGATGCATGGGACGATGATGTCGAAGAGCAAAATGGCCGGCAGTCCGAGCGTGATGCCCAGATGCTGCATTGGGTGCGCTTCTTTTTGCATCATCTTCGTCTCTTTGCGCTTCAGGCGCGGGAGTGTGCGAGTGGATGAGGCATACGTAGTAGCTCTGTTTTCGAGCCGCGGTCGTGTTGCTCTCGCGGTTGACTCGTTGTCGGCATTGGGGGAGGGCTCAGAGTCGGGTTTTTCGTCCAACTCATCACGGGGCAGCCCCAATGTCGTGCCACTGTCGGGAGTATCGCTCGAATCCTGTTGCTGTTCCTGGTCTTGTTGTCCCAGCATTTCTTTCTCCGGATCAATCACCGGCACCCCGTCACTGTTGTCCCGCCAGCTCACTCCTGTGACGGGCCGAGTCTCAGGCTCGTCGTTGTCCATCCTCAACTCGTGTCTGTTTTCTTTTTGGTGCTTTCACCAATTTCGAATATCTCCTCCTTCAGCTGCAACCTTATGGTGCTCTCCCGATCCTCGAAGAGACAGAATGCACATAGGAAAGTAGTAGCGGGGCAACGCTCATTTAAGAAAGCACATCTCCCTAAAAGGGGGAGCGGAAACCGAGCGTTGACTCAGCCAACAGCATTATATAAGTCATGGGATTCGCGGCAGAAAATTTCAGCCTTTGGCGCGGAAGATCGGGCCCATGATCCACCTCAGGCGCTTTTTATTCGCGCTCTAGGAGACTGGCGAACGATGCCCCTGCAGATCTGCGCGCCGGGGCTTCCGCTTCAAGCCTCGATGCATTCTGAGTTCCCTTCATCTGCCGGCAGCCAGTCCGCGGCAACGTCATTGTTTACCTGTTCGAGGCAATCGAACTTTAGTCCGGCTTTGAATTCAGCCACGCTTCAACGTATTAGGCGCTGTTATTGACTCAGCAGTCGGCGGAGGAAGTGATCGAGGCTGGAAAAGGAATCTGTGGACTAGGCCGTCGGTGGACTCGATGATATATATCTGGTCCAGGAGAGGAGCAGGACCTGTTTTTTAATTCTGCACAGATGGTGAACAATCGAACCTCTGTACCGAGTACTCGTCTGGAAAACAATCTGCACCGCTATACCTCGTACAATGGGTCTTGGTTCCTGCCATTGGCACCACCGTGTACATATGTACTCCGTATTGCGTTGCGAGTGTGCTAGTTGCCGGTTCGCAGAACATGAGGACCTTGGTAAGACCTTCATAAGCCCTTTGGGAGCCCCGGTGGAAAATATGGAACCCGTTTCAGCACCAAAAGCCCAACAAATGATGAGTTGAGAGTTAATAGCTAGGAGGCCGTGGCTGTTTTAGGCGTGTCGGACAACCGACCGCTTCCGCGCTGCTACGTCATCCTCGCCGGCCTCGTTTCGGCCAATTCTTCGACAGCAGTATTTGTACAGAGCGCCAACAATCAGGCCGGTATGTACCAAGGGTCCAAGGGACCAAGGCTCTGTACATATGCATTCACCAATCCATGAGCATGGCCACATTACAGAATATTGTCAGCTGGAATTCTTTGCAGCATCACAACGCTGTGATCACGACGACCAGCAACGATTGCCTTACTTTCGGAGTCCTACTGTGTCTGGCATAAACTGAATGTGCGCTTCTATCAAGTGGCTGCTGTTATGGCCGCTGCTATCCTCTGGCTCTCCTTGTAGTGGCTCACCGCCAGACACATGACAATGACCTCCTCCATCATCGCGCCGCTTGTCAGGCACGGCGCCAGCATTTCCATGCTCCCGCCGCGCTTCGGCCCCTTGTAGTTGGGCTTGTATCTGGCGATGGCCAATCCCTGGCCATTCAAGAGCACCATGTTCAAGTCATCGAGTTTCTTCCGTGGCGTCCAGGTCATCTTCTCCCCGCCAAGTTCCGGGGAAGCGTACGAGTACTGGGTCTTCATAAACCCCGAAGACTCGAGCGAGAGCGTCCGCCCATGCAACCTCATGTCAATCCGGGTCGTCAAGCAATGGAAGTCGACTGTCGCGACCTCGCCATCGTTGGAGTTAGAACGGATTGTCATCTGCGGCTTCCGGTATCTCGCATCCACGGTGTAAATGACCGTTGTCGGGTCTGTGTCCAGCACCCGGATTGTCGTGTGGTGATTCCAATAATCCTGGTACTGGACGTGCAAAGTACGAGATTCTGAGCCTAGATCTGTGCCATTGAACTGGAAAGGCTGCTGTGGCTGGAAACTTGCCCACTGGTCGTCTTCGTCTTGGGTCAAGTCGGATCCGACTGCTTCGGTTTCCTGATGTCTCTTGAAGGGGTTCTTCATTTCGTCGTGTTTGGGTGACTGGTCTTTGTTGGCAATCAAAAGTCTCTTTTGCTTCTTGAGAGATCAGATGAGAGCATGCAGGTAGCGAGTCCCTTGCTTTTATGCTACCAGTAGTCCATGGTAAAGTCCTCGGTGTCGCCACCGGAGCGCTGCATAGAACCTATTCCGGACTAGCTTCAAAAGCAATGGTGCACAGCCTGGTAGCATAGAGCCTTGTACATCACTTGGGGACCAGGCGGCCTTACTTGGGCGTCGCTAACCACCGAGCAGCACTTGGCTGGGGCTAAAACGGGTACCCTACAAGTACCTAGCTCGCTAGGTCGATACCACATTACTTAGAAGATGCCTACACACGACTTCGACGCGCCGGTATTGATATCCAGAGAGCAGTGCCACACAACTTTTGGGAGATATGGGGAGTTTGCCTGCAGAGCCCCAAGTTGAAATGCCCTGCTATCAGTGATTGTCACACAGAGTCAGTCACAACGGCCCTCCTACGAAACATCCGGTGTACATAGTAATAGGGCTTACAAGGCTATGACCTCTTTCGCCATCGCCTTAGCAAGTTGTTACCCAGTCAGCGACCTTTAAATCCCGTCGTCTGGTGTCCAGAATTTGTTCCACCGTTCGTGTGTGGCGCTTGCCTCGACATCTTTCTTGTCATAGAAGCGGAGATCAGTGCTCAACCGAATGCGACCATGAGGATCGTTGTTAGCCGCTGCCGTATGAATCGTGTATGGCAGACGGAAGACCACATCGCCAGCCTCGAAATCAGCAACAAACCAATTGAATTTGGTTTTCTTAGCGAGGTGCTCATGATCTTGCTGGAAAACCATTGGATCCATCGAGAGGACGCCCGTGGCGGACATGTTGCGATTGAATGCCGAGACCTTTCCTCGGGAGCGAAGTCTTTCGCGCGTACCCCGAAATCATCCTCGATGGCCTTGGTGAGACTGGTGCTGTCTTCCAGATAAACAAGACCTCCTCCTGTGGCTGTGACGTCCCCGAGGGGCACCCAGGCGGTCAAGAAGAAGGCATCACCTCCGCGAAGGAAGAGTTTGTCGTAATGAACGCCAATGCTTTAACCACCAGGGATATTGTGCCGAAGCATGGTTCTCTTGACGAGGACTTCTTTTTCCCAACCCATGATATTGCGAACCATTTCACGCAACTTGGGGTGCGCCGCGAAATCCAGGTAGGGCTGCTGCACATGGCCTTTACGAGACGCTCCAGTTCGTCGTTAACTGTTGGACCTCCACCACCAACGCCATTGTGCAATGAGATGTCTTCGGCCATGTTGTATTTGCCGTCCACTGGATCTATGTCTGGCTTCAGCAGACCCAGGGATTTGAACTGGGAAAAGTAGTGTTCTCGCGTCTTCAGAACGTCGTCTCGTGGTAGGAGACCCTTGACAAAGACATACTCATCCTCAAACAGGCGACGACGAATCTCTTCGATCGGGGTCTCGCTTGAGGTTTCGCATAGCCAGCCGAGCATGGACTGGGGAATCGAGTCTTGGATGGCACGCACATTTGGAGGAAGAGGCTTGGTATCTGGTCCTGAATCAACTCTTGCCATCGCGAGTCCTGGTCAGGATGAAGTTCGTCTTAGACCTTGACCCCGGTGGAGTCTGAGATTTCAGAAGCCAGAGAAGGAGCGATATCATCTTGCTAACGGACGCCAGTGGGTGCCAGTCAATTGAAGTACGTCCCAGATCCAGACGAGAAATGCGTCGGCCTCACCGGCCTTCAGGCACTAAGGAAGTGGGAGAGTCTGGAGAGTCACTATGGGGGAAAAATTGGCTGGGTTGGACTGGATTTTGGGGCCGTTCGGGGCGAGACGTCGGGCCACTTCGGGGCCACTGGGCCGTTTTCCAAGCTTAAGCGCAGGCTAGTGAGGCCACTGCAGCGTGACTTAGCCTAGTGCTACATACTCGCCGCTGCCTCTCACTCCCTTTCCTTTCTCCTCACATCTCATTCTCTCCTCGTTGTTCGTATTAGCGAACAGAGTCATGCTTTCCAGGAGCACCACCAGCACCCTTCTCTATGCTGACAAAGATAATCAACCTCATGTGAAAGCTACAAGATTCTGTTCCCGAATCAGCAGCCGACAATTCTCGATCTCTCATTGACTAGAGAGCCCTTTTGAATATAACCTCGGCGCGAAATTGGCACTCCCGGCCACAAGTGACTTTGTGTTACCATCAAGTAGACTATGCTGTGGACAAAGTTGAACAGCGTTCATATGCTGATAAAGGCCATTTGCAGCAGCATTTGTAATACGCGCAGGCTCTAGTTCCTTCCTGTCCGGGATCCAAAGCCACAAGGCAAAGAGGGAGGAAGAGGGCTGATCCAATGGTCCAAGCATTGCTCAATCTTGCGCCAGTGCACGCCCACGAACACCATCATTAGAACATGGTTGCAGAACAAGCGCCGCGTTTCCGCAAACAGGTAGCAGGACAGCACTCCCCTGTTGCCAGTGTCGCAAAACCTCTCGACTAAATTATTTGTCTTCCTCGACGTCGTTAATTGACCCAGAAATATGGATTGTGAGCCGTTTGTGGGTCTCTCAGTCTTTCAGAGTCCTCAAGCCAATCAATTACTCCCATTGCATGCCCATATCGGGTATCAGTTCTAAATGTCGTTCGACTCAATTGCAACGTCGCAGATCTTCTTGAAGGGCCTGAGAATGGGGATTGGCGGCCTGCGTACAGGGGTTTTCAGATCTTGTCGCCCTAGTGCCTTAATTCGACGAGATATCATCAAGAGATCTAGGCCGTCCGTGGTGCCGAAGCATTCAAATCCTTGATAACAGCTCGCAGCAGGCCCCTTTGGTACAGGTCGAGGTAGGAAAAGCGGTCGAAAAGTTTCGCAAGCTCATCCTCCCGAAAGAGTTTGTGGGTTTCTCGACCATTCGCACGCTCCATCTGTAGAATGGCTGCGAGAAACCATCCTCGATTGCTTGTTCCCGCAGACACGGCACCGACTAGAAGGACCCATAGGTGGGCGTCTCCAAAGTCGATCCATTCTCTTGGTCTGATACCTTCGAGTCGAAGTCTCAGTTTCGAGGCGAGGACTTTGCATGTTCGTCGTCGACCAGTAACTGTCATTACCATGAATAACCACACGATCAAGACAATTCTGATGGCATCCACTTTACCATCGTCAACTTGGAGTTCCAGAAGTCGGTGTCTGAGTGCACTTGTCCGGAGAAGGAGCCAGTGGAGAATTGTTTTGGATCCAGCCGGTGCATTTCGATCTGACGGCGGTGGTCTCAACTGCCGCTGCATGATGTGAACCGTGGTGGTAAGATCTATAAGCACGCGCTGCATCTGTGTTGGCAGAAGTTTTTGATACCTGGGTTCTTGAAACCAGTTCGCGGGGGGATTAGAATGGACGTGAACCACGTCCACGTGCTCCAGCTCTAGTTCGCCGGGGTCGAAACACGAAGCAGGAAACAGAGGCTTCTGGAAAAGTTCTGCTGCTAGATAGCCGTCCCCAATCACTATCCATTCCCGCAGTGAAGGATCGATTCGTTCGATGCCCCCGAGCTGTGATAGAAGACTTCTGGCCGCTGTGAGATGAATGAGAGCAGAGTTCAGTTCGTATCGGTAAAAATCCGTAACAGCCATTTGATGTATGTCAAAGATAAGTCTTTGGTTAATAGGGGGCGAAGATCTGAGATGCCGGCGTATTGCGTCGATAGCTTTCGTTACCATCTGACTAGTGGTGTCATCGTCTCGGTTCATCTGCTCGAAGTACTGCATTTGACTTGCCATGGACGCCAGCAAGGTGTAAAAATGCACCTCTTTCTCGAGGCATCCTTTGACCAATGTTAGGACATCCTTCTGAAAGGTGTAAGTATGATCGTCCTGCACTTCAGAATGCCATGTCCTAGGATGGGAAACATGGATGAAATATTGGAGAAGACCATGAGCTTTGCGGTCGACATTAACCACGGTAGTTGCGAAAGGATCAATGATGTGCAATTCATCTGTCGGCACACGGGGGATGCCATGTACCGCACAAGGCTGTTTGGAAATCACAAGGCAGCGGCACAGTGCACTGGGGTCTAAGGATCGCGACACTGTAGATTGCGGTGGTCTTTTGTTGGATCCAGCATCCGCCCGTCTACGGGTGGTGCCAGATTTGACGCCCGGCTTGACTTCAATGAATGGTAGTTGCTCGGTCTTGTTGGTCCCGTGAGGAATCGACGACTGTCGGCGATGCATGCTGTCGATCTGGACATGGCGGTGGATCAGCCGCCTTTCCTTGTCGTCGCTCCTTGAGAATGACTGGGATTTCGGATCTTTGACGACGAAAAGATATCGAGAGACACCCTGGTTGATCTCTCCCATGGCGCCAATCTTTGCACATTGTCGCTTAGAGAGTGCCTGATTGTACCCAAGGGGTTGAAACGATGTGGGTAGTTCACGTTCGATGCAAGATGTATAGCAAGCACTGCCAGTCGCTAGGAAAAGAAATTGCCCACTCGGGAAAGGGATTATTGGGCTCTAGGGGCATGTAGGATTTGTGAAGGAGAAATGGAGCTGTCCAATATCTACCTAGACAGGTAAATGGTTGGAAGTACGAACAACTGAACGAGAAGAGCGGAAGACTGGTGCGCATTATCGCGATGGGAGTTTAGGGACCTGGGAGCCTTGACTTGGAAGAACATCGGCAGACCAAAGTGAGAAGTACTGTAACACACCCGACAGAGACCTCCATAGATAGAAGTCAGCTCGCGGGATTTATAGAAAGACTGGGACAATTTCCAAGGACGCAGTTTTCCTGGTTGGTGTCGTGAGGTAAGTGACCTAGTTCGTCAGTTCAACGATGAATTGGGTGGAACTACCTCGTACAAAGGTGTCAAGCGACAAGCTCAGTAAGAGTCACGTGCCGGCCAAGAGCGCGACACGTTCGAGTATCCAGCACCCTGCAACTTGGGTTTGAATGAGGCACCGGGGTGCGCATCCCTCACCAACTCGACACCACTGACACCATTGTATGTACCCGGTACTCTGCACCCACTGACATATCGTCCTTTCGACGATTCATACACAAACTGCCTCCTGTGCACCCTCGCCACCGTCTTTCGCCAGCCAAGTGTCCGGCGCCCGCTACCAGCCTCCAACCTCCACATTTTCGACCCCATCTCTCTCCAGCTTCGACCGAGGTTATATGTCGGAAATCGTTCTCCACTCTAGCGGCCTCGACAATGCCTATCGCTCCAAGACCGGAAAGGTGCTACATAGAGGATGTATATCTCCAGCCGCCCTATCAACTGGCCAAAGTGCGGAGGACTCGGCTTTATGTTGGACGCCGCCCTGAAGGTTCATATTCGTTGAAGAATTCCTCCGTTTCCGTCGACTTTACTCGGTAACCACTGCAAAGATCTCTAACTCATCGACCGAGTACTCTCTCTCAAGAGTCGGCAGCAAAAATGCCCTACACATCTCCCCACCCTCCATTGGATATTCCCAAATGCAACATTCTCTCATACGTTTTCCCTCCTGAGAAGGCTCCCTCCAACAAACCACTATGGATGGACGCCGAGAATCCCTCCAACAGCCTCTCGCCAGCCCAGATGCTGTCGTGGGTCAAGAGATTCGCGGTTGGCCTGGATCGACTAGGCGTCAAACAACAACAAGCCGTCATGGTCTTCACACCGAACCATCTCTACGTTCCCATGGCATATCTCGCTGCTGCCGGATCTAAGCGCTTCTTTACCGGTGCCAATCCCATCTACACCGTCAATGAGGTCGCCCACCAGATGAAAGCAATTGAAGCTGCGGTTGTGCTCATCCATCCTTCCCTGCTCGAAACCGGTGTGGCTGCCGCTAAACAAGCCAATATCCCACTAGACAGGCTCTTCATATTCTCCGACTCCGAGTGTCCAGCCACAAACGGCATCAAGGATTGGCGGTCAATGGTCGCCTCAGAGTCAGAGGCTGAGTCTTGGAAATGGGATCCTCTCGAGGGGGACACTGCCCTGGAAACCATTGCCGCCATCAATTTCTCTAGCGGAACTACTGGCCTCCCCAAGGGAGTGTGCATTACGCATCGCAATCTGGTTGCCAACTCTGCGCAAACAATTTTCAACAAATACCATGGCACTCAGTACTCCGAGCAAGATCCTGGCCCCGAGCGTTGGCTGGCGTTCCTTCCTCTGTATCACGCCTATTCCCAGTTATGGACCATCAACATCGCCTGCCGACTTCAAGTCCCGGTCTATGTCATGCCCAAGTTTGTGTACGAAGACTTTTTGAAGCACATTCAAAACTATAAGATAACGACACTACAATTAGTTCCGCCGGTTCTTGTCATGTTAAGCAAACGGCCAGAGACAGCCAAATACGATATCGGCAGCCTTGAACAGATCCTTTGCGGCGCAGCCCCGCTGAAGAGCGATTTGCAAAATGAAATCATGACGCGTTTCAACGTGGTTGTGGTCCAAGGCTGGGGCATGACTGAGACTACGTGTGCCGGCATTATGATGCCGGGAATGGCCAAGGACCTGACTGGCTCGATTGGTCATCTGCTGCCCAACACTGAGGCGAAGCTCGTCGATGATGAAGGCAACGACGTGACAGCGGAAGGCGAACCGGGTGAGCTCTGGCTGAGAGGACCACAGATGCTGCTGGGTTATTGGAGAAACGAACAAGCCACCAAAGAGAGTAAGACGGAAGACGGCTGGTTTAAGACCGGCGACGTCGGCGTCTGCAAGGGCGAGAAGTGGTGGATTGTCGACAGAAAGAAGGAACTCATCAAGGTCAACGGATTGCAAGTGGCACCTGCTGAATTAGAGGCAGTTTTGCTTGAGCACGATGATGTTGCAGATGCAGCTGCTGTGGGGATCGTTGTCCACGGCGAAGAGCTCCCACGAGCCTATGTGGTTTTGCAAGAGCGGGCCAAGGGCAAAACCACAGAGGAAGATATCAAGGCTTTCGTGGCAAGCAAGGTGGCTAGGCACAAACGGTTGGCCGGGGGCGTCAAGTTCATCGATGAGGTGCCCAAGCTGGCCAGTGGCAAGATTGTGCGCAAATTGATGAAGGAGTGGGCGAAGCGAGACGCAAAGGAGGTTGAAGGCATAGTAAAAGCAAGACTATAGAGGAGAATGGGCATGCGCTACCGGTGCGTGTGCGGGATCAAGATGTCGACACACCACCGGTCTGACTCGACAAGGAGGTCAGCGCCCTGCCTCGTTCCGCGGGCTACGAATTCCAGCCTAAAGCTCTCACAGTGCGATCTGCGTCTGTGAAAAGCCGCCAGCATGGTTGCAAGAAACGGCAGAGAGATCGTCGCATCATCCCCAGTTCAGAGACTCGATTTCTTCTGCCTTTCTTGCGCATCATTGCCATGCCAGCAATACCACTTGTCTTTTCGAGGCCATGACTCTGGTCCAAACGACACACGAAGGAGTATTGGCATGCAGCAGAAGGTACGTTCAAAATGATGATAAACTGGGTTAGAGCATCTGCGATCTGGCTTTAGAAAGAACTGAGCAATCATCCCAGCGGATAATACTACACTTTCTTTTGCCTGCGCATTGATCTATCCTCTCATTTTCAGTTGATCCTAGCTGGTCTTCCGTCTTCACTCTCGGCCGTACCACTTTCCTTCGACCCTGGAAATCGCATCTCCCCCCTGAGAGTTCTCTTTTGCTTGCACCTTTCCCTTAACTTTTCTTCCTCGCCGTCACAAAACATTCTCTGCATGCATCATCCTGCAATCATCGCCTGCTCACTTATCAAATCCCTATCTATCAACCTCATCAACCGCCGTTCTGAGCCATAATGATGGGCTACTTCTGCCACTGTCGAGTCCGCGATGATGCTGTCCAGGTCCGTCGTCGAACTGGTTACGAACGAGTCAACATTTCCTTCAAGCGGACGGTGAGAGCATCCTACAACTCTGGGAAGTCCGGATTGCCTCCAGACTTGGGTAACTTTCCTCTATACAAGGTCAAAAACCTACGCCAATTCTCTTCCTTGCGAGGTGGTTGCAAGGGGGCCGGGAGGTACTTGCCGATGTAAACGTATGTACCTTCATCTTCTGCTAGGTTCGAGCCAACTTATATCTCAGAGCGGGAAACATTGTGGATCAACTTCATTGCAAATTCGCCCCTTGCCGTCAAAGTATATCTGGGCTCCGTTAATGCAGTCTCAGCCGGACCGGCTGCCGAGGGGTTCTTTTACAGAACAGCGCCGCCAAGTCCTTAGGTCTCAAGGAAAATTCGTTCAAGAATACATAATCCTCCTGGGTCAGCATTGGCTAGACGGGATCGTGTCTAGCAGCGGATTAGTCAAGCAATTCGTCGCTACATGACTAGGAGAGGGTTACACGGTCGAAGCGCAGATTACAGGCCATGAAGCACCCACGGGATTGAGATCACACCAGGCGTTCTGAGCCCTTCAGCCAATATTCGAGCGAGAGTAGTTCTCTGGAACAAAACGACCCACTTGGGTGTCCTTTCGGACTCGAACTTTAGGTACATTGCTTCCCAGTGAGCATCCTGACCGGTGTGATGGAACAAAGCTAACCGCATCGAAATCTCGGTGAACGACTCGTTCACCATGGACACTGCGAACCGGTTCGCATAAGCGCTCTCAAGTATCAACATCTCCCATTCATCCTGCGCTAACACTGGTCGTAGATTGAGACGGTTTACTTGGACGAGGTATTGACGGGAGGCAGGGCTGGACACATACATCCCTGGAAGACTGCTAAGGAAATGGGGATTGCTGCAGGTGGGAGGATCAGACAATCATCAGGGACTCCTGGCCACCGGCAACTGGCGTAAGAGCGTTACTATTGCCTTCGACGTTCAGATGCTGAACGCCGATGTCTTCGGGAATGTCACGGGTCTCCCAGCGCCAACTACCCCAATCACGATAGAAACCCGCGCGAGTTTGGCCTCCCTTTTTCAAGCTATACGAAGAACTAAGCAACGTGCACGGTTCATCCGACAAGGTTAAATCGGTCAACGAAATCGATGAGGTTGAGGACCGTAGCTTCGCTGTCCCGACCAAAGCCCTTGATAACCCGTTTTACGCGAAATCAAAGTCCCAAACCAGCGTCGGAGTTAACAATGATGAGGACATTTCGAATCTAGCAGGGCCGATAAGCGAGTTTCGCCCCGTCTTTGAGATGTATCACGAGTGGAATCACGAGTTCCAGGGCAGGAACATCGCCGCCTCGTGAGCAATTTGCTAGGTCACACGCCCCTGGGAATGGGCAAATGTTGCAAAAGGTCTGTCAACGATTCAGCCTTCAATAATGCAGGTTATTTTTGTTGGCCGGGCCTTGGAGAAGCACGGGTGATTCGATCAGAGTTGTTTCCGTGGAGGAGAATTGCCGGAGCAACGACAAGCACGGAACAGGGAGACTCGCTTTTCGGTAACGGTTTCAACAGCTAGGAGCGCTGGCGGGTTGGGGCTTGTGGACAACGAATAGAGCATATGTGGTTATCAAGAGGATGTGCTGGGGACTTTGAAGCAGGTGTGAATTGTGCTCGTGATCGAGTGGGAGGATCCATGGTGATGCCTGTATCCAATTCATCAACTCTGCTGATCGTCAAGCATAGCGCAACTTCCGGGCAATCAGCTACAGCAGAGCCCATCAGTCGTGACTCCTTATTTCGACATGCTTCTCTCGAAGCGAAGATCTTGCTGGCAGTCTCAAGGCATGACTTTCTCGTCTCCAACCCTCATTCCATTCTGATTCTCTCCACTGTCGTCGCTAGTCGTCTTCTTCTCCTTGGGCCTTCCTTTCCTGTCCACCCTCTCATCTCGAGGGTCAAACCCACCATTTCCCCAAAGTGCCCACTCGGGGGTCTCCTTGCAGTAATCTTCCGGTGTAAAGTCTCGTGCACTCTCCAACAAGTTGAAGAACTTGTCATAGTCGATGAGGGTGTGCCACTTGGCATTGATGAAGAAGCGCTTGCTCGCGATCAGCACGCAGCAGCTGTGTTCATGCTCGGCCGCGATGCCGTATTCCAGACCTCTCTTTGCGAGGGCCTTCTCCAAGGCCTCGACGAACTCGACGACTTCCTCGTAGAAGGGGACGTTTTGCATCGTCAGGCCCGCCCCGGCCGAGGAACTCGTGCCGCAGTACTGCCAGGGAGAAGAAAGATCTATTAGCGCATGGCTGACAATAGATGGATAGGGAGCAGTGGCAAGACGATGAATGACCCGCTTCAGATAGCAGTCATTCCGAAAAAGAGTCCTTTTCAAACGAGATGAGGGAAAAACTTACTGTGACGCCCTTAATTTCGACAAAGCAGGGTAAGCCTTTAGCCACTAGGTGGGCATACCCTTCTACTTCGTCCTCAATGTTGAATCCTTTGACGAGCGTAAGCCGGAACACGGTGCGTTGCTCGAAACGCTTCTCCCGCAAAAGGTCCAGGCAGGAATTGAACCGATCCCAAAAATCCCGATGTAGAGGTCTGTCGATCTTGCGTAGACTGTCTTTGTTGCTGGCGTCGATACTGACGTAGAGTTGTGTGACGCGGCGCAAGTCACGCAACTGCTGCGGATGCTGGGCGTTGCAGACGAGGAAACTGGATATCTTCTCACTGTGCAGGAGACCCACGAACTCATTAATGCGCGGGTAGAAGATCGGTTCGCCCACTAAACTCAACGCACAGTGTCGAATGCGCATCGCTTCTTCAAACCTTTCGGCGCGCACGCCGGGGACGCCACGCATCATTTTGATTTTCTTGTAATGGCCTTCCTTCGCACCCTCGAAGATCAGTTTCGGATCATCAACTTGCCACCGCCAAGTCGTCGAAACTGGGTTGGTGCCGTGCCTCCAGCAAAAGACACACTTGTTACTGCACGAAAGTGACGGAGTAGTTTCCATGCACAGATGGGAGGCAATGCCATAGAAGGAATTCTTGTAGCAGGATCCACGGCCCCGAAGGGCCGATTTTGTCCAGCGGCAGATTTTCACCCCCGAATGAGTGCCCACGATCGTGTACCCCTGTTTTGTCAGAGCAGCGTGAGTCGGAGATTCCTTGGGGACCATGGCCTTCAAGGACGTGGGTGCTGATGGCGGAGAAGGGTAGGTCGTGAAGTCAATGGCCATGGGAGCCGCGTAGGAATTGGCCTTCCCGCCCACGTCCTCGAGATCGGGAGTGTTGGCAAGCTTCCGTCTCTTATTGCGGCCAGAGTCAGGGAACTCAATGTCTTCATCCACTTCCTCTGGCTCATCCTCGTCGCCGCTCTCCAAGGGTTCTCCGCTTCCAGGAACTCCTTCACCGAGGGCACCGGTCTTGCTCACCTCCTTGAGAATGCTGGATACGCCACCTATCCAGTCCTTCAGCGATCTGTCGAGATTGCTTTTCACGTCACCGAGTCCCACAGGGTACGCCCTCTTCCTGTCAGTTAATTTGGCCATCCACTTGTCGACCTCTACAGCTTGTGAGCAGAATCCCTTCTCTTCCGTAGGCCAGCCTTCCTTGTCACCGATACCAAAGACCGTGTACCCTGCCAACATAGATAAAGGTGCGGTATCGATGCGGAAGTCATTGTGTGTCTCGTCTAGATGGGAAAGGAACGTGTTCAAAATGGTGTCGATATTGTAGGATGGTATCAAAAGGAGGTAGAAGTACAAGACGCCTGTATCCGGCGCAGGTGTTTTTGGTCCTGATATGAAGTAGTCGTCGAGATCAATGTAAGAGATATCATGTATTTGAGGCCTAAGGAGGGCGGGCTGGGCGATTGAGACTTCCTCGAGGTCCGCAGCTACATTCTTTGAAAGGCGTTCAGTAGTTCCGGTCAAGGAAGAGAAGAAGATCAATGGCTGTATTCGAGACGGCTCTCTTCGTCTCTGCAGCGCTAGTTGGCCTCCTCTCGAACTTGGCGGCTTGCGGCCTGTCACAACACGGGGTGCTGCCACCGTTGTTAGAGGTTTTCGAGCCTGGCCAGATGTGAGTGAAGAGGTGTTTCTTGGTGGAGTTTCAATCCTTCTATCCTTCGCAATCTGGAGACGGGCATCATCATTTTGGGAAAGCCACTCTGCCTTCTCCAACGTTGGCGAGCCGCGCTGTGTGATTTTGTAGGCATGCCTGCGCAGCACGATGACAGCGAGAACGCATAATCCGAGAACAGTTGACAAAACGACACGGTTCTCATGCCAGGAAGTCAAGAGCCGGCCCAGCCAGTCAGCCAAAATGACTGGCGCCGCCCCAGCGTCACCGAGATCCATGGCCATAGAGTTGGCTGGTTAAAGTCACTCGAGACTTTGAAATTCTCTCGGTACAGAGTGGGATGCGCAGGCCACGTTCCTCGAGAGCCTTGGCATCAAAGCCGAAGGACTTTGCCCTGGCCACGCCGCTTTTATAACTACACACCCACCTCGTCCCTCACCCTCTTCCTCACCTTGCTCACCCACTTCTCACCTTCCACCTACCGAGCACTCACTCACCGTCACTCACCGTCGTCTTGCCAGACCAATCCCTTCTACGGTCCCGTCTCTATGCCACCCACTCAACCAGGATCTAACATCTGCGGACGGGCGATATGATCCCCCTAGTACAATCATGTAAAATGCGCCTCCAGGTCACCCTTGTTCTCTCTCAGTTGATGGTTCAGAGCTCTGGTTAAGTTTGCTTGCCACAATCGGACAACCTATTCATCTCACAACGCCATCCGCTGGCCGCCTATCCTTGGGGATCCAATACAGATTTTTGCGGCCGAGAGCGAAGAGAAAGCCCTTTTCCTCCCCCGGGAGACGCGTCTCATGGTAGCAGAATGATTACAAAAAGATACATTGTGATCCACTTCCGTGGACTTGGTTGTTCGTGACCAGGAGTTGCACGGAAATTCCTACACCCTGTGCGTGAGAGAGTAGAATGGTGACCAAGTCGTCCATAAATTGTCCTGTCTACTCCTAAGCATGGCTTTTTAATTTGGGCCATAGCAACCTTCTCGCCTTCGCGCCAAAGATGCCCTTCCTCGTCTCGTCGTTAAATATCTCCGGCGCCTGCTGTTCCATGATTCCGCCCAACCGATACACGGCCTCAGCCTTGGAAAAGGGATAGTCCGTCCCGTACAGAAGCCTCGGGGGCTCCGTGAAGCGCAGCAGGCCATGAATCTGGTCCGGGAATGGGTAGCCCGCGAGGTCAAAGAAGAAGCGCGTTTTGAACAGGTGTTTGACGTCGTCGCTGGTTAAGGGCATGCTGGGGCTGACCGTGCGCGCCGTGTACCCAACACACCGCTCGATCACAGGGGGCAAGGTGGCGCCGCAGTGAGGGACGACGAACGTGATGGACTGGTATCGCGCCACGGTGCCGGAGAGGATCAGGTTGCTGACAGCACGGGTGGTGTCGAAGAGGAATTCGAGCATGGGTCGCGGATACTGGGTCAGAGGAGCGACCGCTTGAGGAGCAGCGCCGTTGGCGACTGGAAGATTAACTCGACAACAGGTCGGATGCATAAATACCACGGCGCGTCGCGAGTTCAACTTCTCGAAGACCCTGTCCAGCGCTGGATCGCCTAGGTACACGGTGTGTGCGTTCGTCATGACCGAGAAGCCCACGGCACCGAGGTGGTCCAAGGCATGGTCGATCTCGGCGAGAGAGCCCTCAATATCCGGAAGTGGTAGGCTTGCAAAGAAGGCAAATCGGTCCGGGTGTGCAGCACAGATCTCGGCGAGGTCCTCGTTGGTTTCGCGAGTCAGCTTGCGAGCAAAGGCGTCGTCCCCTGGCTTCAGGTGCGTGCCAGGCGAGGTGATGCTCAATATGCTCTCCGAGATCTTGGCATTGTCCATGGTCGCAAGGTGCGCCTCGACGGTCCAGTCCTGGAGTTTAGCTCACAGTCAGTCCAATCGCTGGTCCTTACTTGCTCAGGATTGGGTTTCTTCTGGGGTTGTCGCAGATGCACGGAATCCGCCTCGGTGGCCGGCTGGCCTACTTACCTGTACCATCGAGATGCCGTCGGTGTCGCCATAACCCAGGTCCATACAATGCTGCCGCCATCGAGCTGGGATGGCATGGCTGTGGGTGTCGATGCGCTCCATTTGCAGTTGTGCTAACCAATTCACGTGGTCTCCAAGCCTATCAGACACTATTAGAACAGTGAACTGGTCTTGTTTGGCTAGTCTTCAAAGCGTCCCCTCCGGAACCAAGAAGGCTAGGCGGTCGCTCTTTAGACCCAACAGATTAAAAGTCAGGCCATGGCGGTCGACCTCAATATACATACCTCAGCAACAATCGATCATTGCTCTGACAACCAATCAGGCTTACACCTATCCTGTCTACTGAGATGCGATGCCTGAGCGCCAATCTCCGACATGTGGGAATCGCCCAGATCCACACTTCTCGTATGTTTGGGGTTGTCGTGAAGCACGGCCGAACTCGTGGGTCGAACACAACGGTGTCTCGAGGAATCATGTGCACGATCGTACATATTCTACTCGTATGTCGGCAACACCGACCGCTCTAGTGGGACCTATGGTCTGTATTCCAGGGCAAACGTGACGCGCTAGGATGCCAATAACGGGAACGAATCCGCGTCGTTTGCAACCACATCGTCGTCCCAGTCAAAAATCCCGGCATCAAACGAGAACAGATCCTCCGTGCCGCCGTTATCGCCTATATCCACGAACCGTAGCTCCTGGGGACGGGCGGGACTGGGGTACAGCAGCCTCGCCAGTTCCGCCTCCTGCTCTGGGGTATGCGCCGTCGAGACGGGTCTAGACCGAGTGAAAATGGCATCCAGTGGTGGACCCAGCAGTCTCTCGTAGATGGCCGCATACTCCAAGACTTCGGTCCAGCCTTGGCTCGAGATGGTCAGCAGGTTCGAAGTGAAGAGCTTTGTCATCTCAAAGATCTTGTTGGGGCTGAATTGCAGCGCAATCGCCTCGAAGTTGTGTCGTAAACAGAACAGTACCACCAGGGCCATTTCGAAGGTGTGATGAGCCGCATGCCATCACCGTGGGAAATACCCTGACCGGATCTGCCCGCGGCAGCTCTTGGCCAACGAGCAGGCGGCCTCGAAAGCCACGGACATGCTCGTGGAAGATGGTAAGGGCACGCGAGACGAAGGTCTGTGTAGCATTACCAGGCCGTGCATCAACGCGAACTCAGTCCACCCATCGTGCGGGAGATCGGACTGATACCATTCCCACAATCGTCGCTCTGTTGTCGCCAGCCACTCCTGCCATGTCTGTGGGGGTCCAGCTGCCGGCCTTGGAAGTGGACTTCGATGATGGTGGACTGCACTCGTCTATATTTGATCCCGCGAATAGCCAATTTCTTGGTCGCTTGTCCCTGGCGATCGAGTCCTTGTGAAGCGATGCCCCGATCTTCGAGCACCGACATGATGCTCGTGTCGGTTGCCGGGTCCGGATGGACAGGGGCCTCTGGAGCGCCGCACAAATGGACCGATCCATACAGTGTGCGGCCCAGAAGATACGTCTGCGTGAATCGATAGTCAAGGGGTCCAGATCCATACTCTCCGACACTTCGCGATGCAGACCCAGCTCGAGACAATTGCGCATGGCGAACCCACTGAGGATCCACACATTTCCCAGCTTTGGATTGATGGATGCGTACTGCAGAATCAGCAACGTGACTTGGATCCAAGCCATGTCTGAAGGATACGCCGCATTCTGCGAGAGGTGACGAATCCCTTTTTTGAAGAGCGCTTCAGAGAAGGCCATGCACCGGGCGCCTTGCCCTACCTTTGCACTGCCTAAGGTTGTAGACACGGAGAGAATCAAGTAGATGACGAGGACGTCGTAGTCTAACCTTACCGTCTGCGGACAAGACTCTCCTCCTTCAGCTCGTGGAATCTTCAAGAGCACGCGGCCGAGCTGTTCCCATATCGTCGGCTCGTAGAGAAACAGGTGAACGGGGAGCATGCGCTGCACGTACTTCTTGACCAACGTGTCGACGACGTGAGACGGCATGCTTGCCAAGATCGACACATCGACCTCGGGCTCGCTATCACGATTCTGGGCTGGTGTCTTGCTTTGGGCCTGCTCTTTCACCTCAGGTGAGAGCACTAGCGACGGCGTGAGTCCCATCCGGACTGCCCTACAACGTCTGTCAGCGATGGCCCGACTGGCAAGGTCGCACTGATCATCGACTGGATTTCGGCGCTGGCAATCACGCGTTCCTTGGTCGCGTCTCGCGTTCTCGATGTTCTCCGATGGCTCAAGGCTGTATTCAGAGCGGGACTACTCATCGCATGCTCGACCGCGACGTATTGCTCTCTGATCTCCGTCTCCAAGGAGGAGATCTGCGGTAGCTCATCGATCATAGTAGCCGTAGCAAGGACAGAAGGGCTTGTGTTTGAAGGTACGCTGTGATCGATCTCTTCTTGGATCTCGAACTCGTCGCAGCCCAGTTCTGTCAATTTCAACTCGAGGCTGGCAATCTCGTTTTCGAGATGTGTACGATACTTCGCGGAATAGCAGCGCCGCGGGCTGAGTTGAAGCCCCTGCATTCCGCGCCCACGGCGACGCACTGGGGACATGCCGGCAGCTGTCTGTCGCACTTTGCACATATTTACGTCAGTGAGGATCCACAGTTTGAGATGATCACTGGCTCCATCTATCATGTAACAAGCAAATGGTATGAATATACCTTGGATTTCCTCTTCCGACACCTGACACACGACAGCACGCTGCGTCTACAGGTGGCAGTGCTCGGTGTATTTGGCATAGTGGTCGAGGTTCTCCGCCCCATATTTGCGATAAGCATAAGGGAACCTCGTACACGGCCGAAACGGGCTTCATAACTGTTATGTGCTCGGCGCACCTTCCCATCTTGTCAAGGGCCTACCCCTTTAATAAGGTAAGCCCCTCGCTCTCTCTAGATAGAACTCTTCACTCATTCTACTCTAGTCTCAGCTCAGCCCTGCGTTCTGGCATTAATACTGTCAGTTCTTGATCGGTATCTGAGACGAGCACATCGGAGATTCACGACCTGTACTGGGTACGTGGCTAGGGCTTCAGTCAATGGAAAGTTGACGACGAATTAAGGTTCGCAGAATGTATCCACCTTGCCCCAGATTCGGAAAGTCAAGCGACAAAGGTACCTACCGAGTTGGCTTTGATTTGCTCTGATTTATCATCCACTATGATCTGGCCGAGTCGAGAAAGTCCGATGCTCTTATTCCGCTGCGATTGACCAACACGATCGGGTTTCTCCTGCAGACAGACCCTGGATAGGCATGAGCGCAGCTGTGTGACAATATCGACTTTCTCAGAAGCTGACATGGCCTCCCTCCTGTGGAGTTTCCATTTAAATGACCTTTTTTTTTTCTTCCAGCTTCGCCCGATAGTTGCACGACGCGTTGTCGGATAGGTTGGATTGCACTGGTCAAGATGAGGTCGAGGACGCATTTTCTTTGACCCGTTCCTCGTTTCGTACATCCACATCCTATATATTATTCGCATGCATGACTCGGGACTAGTGTTAAAGTCGCGGCACACTCGTTACTTAGCATTTGCCTCGCTGTTCTTGGCGTGCTCCCTTCCTTTGATTTCTCCGTGTCTTTGACGGCTAAATCAACTCCCGGAGATGGACTTCTCATCCGTCTCCATGAGAATGCAGATTGAGCGAGATGATGGCACTAGGTTGAAGGTAAGACATCTCTTCCCGGCCGCTGTATGGCACCTAACAGGGTCTAGATCATTGTGGTTGGCGCCGGGCTTGGCGGGCTCGCCACGGCAGTATCATGCCAGCTTGCTGGCCATGAAGTCGCCGTCCTCGAATCCGCAGCCGCAATGGGCGAGATCGGGGCAGGCCCCCAGACGCTGGCGAACTCGTCCCGAGTTCTCACCTCTTGGGGAATGGGCGGACAACTCAGCAAATGTGCAACGACGCCGCGGCTCTGCAACATGATCGGATGGCGAGGTGAGACCATCTCAACGTGGGATATCCACAAGTCTACGCGCGAGGAATGGGGCAGTCCATACTGGGATTTGCATCGCGTCAGTCTGCATCGATGTCTCTGGAATCGAGCGGTGGAACTGGGTGCCGAGGTGCGGGCCAATTCACGAGTGACCGATGTCAGGATTGCAGCGGATGGAAGTTATGCGACTGTGGTTGTGCGACAAGGCGAGAAAGGTACCCGTGCCTCCATGGACGCAGATCTCGTCATCGGCGCGGACGGCATCAGAAGCTACTGTCGAGATCTTCTGGTTGGGAGAGATGACCCTCCGGCCAAGTCGGGCGACATGGCGTACAGAGTTCTCCTCAATACCGACGACATGCCAAAGGATCCCGAACTGAGAGATTTCGTGTTGGATCCGCAGGTCAACTACTGGATTGGACCCGAATGTCATGTCGTGTCGTATGTCTTGAGAGGAGGCAAACAATTCATTATGGTCCTCCTGGTCCCCGATGATATACCGGAGGACGTCGTCACGCAGGACGGGAACGTCGAAGTTATGCAAGCTTTGTTCAAAGATTGGGACCCGAGGTAAGATGAAACCAGGGGCTGCAGCAGGGTCCCCATGGTCAGACGTATACATGTACGTTAGACTAACCACTCAAACCCAACCTTAGAGTCCGCAAAATTCTGTCTACCTGTTCACAAGTCAAGAAATGGCGCCTCTGTACCCGAACGCCCACCCCAAGCTCCCCATGCTGGTACCACCCTAGCGGGACTTTCGTCCTACTCGGCGACTCCGTCCACGCCACTCTCCCTTACCTCGCGAGTGGTGCCGGCATGGCCATCGAGGACGCCTCTGTCCTAGGCCTCTGCCTCTTGTGCATATCCTCCAGCTCCACGCCTCAAGAGAAGCTGCACGCTCTGAGAGTGTATGAGATGTGCCGAAAACCGCGGACCCAGCGGGTCGTCGAGAAGGCGTACGAAAGCTAGTACTTATATCATCTTCCAGACGGTCCAGAGCAGAGGGAGCGGGACGGAAAGATGAAGGCCTTTGAGGACGCATATCGCACTCAAGGGAATGGAGCAGTGCCTCAGGGGCTGAAGCAGGGGGACGATCCGTGCGCTTGGAGGAGCGGTGGGGTTGGGAAGTGGTTATTTGAATATGACTGCGAGTTGGATGGAAAGAGATGTTGGACATTGCTCCAGGCGGAGGAAGAGGCTGCTGCAAGGACGGCTGCTCGCTCAGACTCAAAGAAGCTCGGCTTAGGTCTAGTAGCAACTGCGAGACTGTAATGCTCGACGGACATCTAGCGAATATTTTGTGGCCTTATGCGCATAATATCTTCATTACAGATCGTTGATGGACGCACTGGTGTTTTGGAACAGCATCATTCAATAGGTGCTTGTAAAAAAAGATCGAAAGGAAAAATTAAAGATAGAAAACATTGCACAGAATATTGTGTCTGTTGTTCTTCCCTCTACTGCGAAGGCTTGCTCTACCTCCCAATGCACCTCATTGCTGTCCTAGTAGAAGACGGTATTTAAAAAGACATGAGACCTCCTGTCTATTAAAGCGTCCACAGAGTCCTTCAGCGCTCTCCCTCCAAAACCCCTCCCAACCCACCGTGAAGGCCTATCGTCCAATATACTTCAACTCCAGGCATCTCAAACCGGGATAGATGATAGCCGTCCATGACGCGGCGACAGGCAGGCCAATCTGAGGAGTAAAAGTTAATCGCGACATTACAATCCGACAGATTGAGCAAAGCTAGCAGAAAGTGCTGGTCAGTGGACTTACATCCGCACCGTCTCCGATCAAGGCAGCGATCGGCCCTGTGTAGTAGTCTTGATCCATGCACATGATGGCCCCGACCCATCCGATCACGAAGGTCGTAATGGCCGCAAGTCCAATGGGGAGGAGTTCGCGAGTGTTCCATGCGCTCCAGTCGTACCCGCCGCGTGTTCTACGGAAAATAAATTCCTCTTCCAGGGTCATGGTGATCCAAATAATGGTCCAGTACCCGATCAGCGAGAGGAAGTTGATGAAGATCTGGAGCAAGTGGGCGCGACCCGCGATTGTGGTCACAGTGAAGATGACGGTGGAGAGGGTACACCAGAACACACGTGGGACGCGGGCGAATCGCGAGTCAAGCAACTGGAAGGACAGGGCGGCAGCGTAGATTCCTGCGACGTTGTTGGCGACAATACCCAGAGCTAGGAGGACCGCGCAGAATTTGCCGAATTGGTTCAACGGCGCTAGGCCCTCGACGTATAGGAACATCTTTCCCAAACTGAGACCCACGGTTGTCCACAGGAAAATTTGCCAGCGCGAGGTCTTGGGGGGGAAGTAGACGAAGAAATCGCATGCACAGGCCGACCAGCCCAGGGCACCGGAGGCGCTGAGGAAGAAGTAAGTCAACCGGTGGCAGGCGAGGACAGAACCCTCGCCTGAGCTGGCCGAGCTGGTGTCGAAGAGCGGGCCGGCCGTGCCCACCATGATGAATAGGACGCAGATTTGGGGAAGCCAGGCATATCTAGGACAGGTTTTGGGTCAGCATCGACATCCGGTTGCCGGTATTACTCTCAACGAACCTCTCATAGATATGAAACCACTTGATGCCGAACGTGATGATGAGCCAACTTTTCCCAATGCTGCAATGATAACTCCGACAATGACGGTCATGCCTCCACCATTGACAGCGGATAGGATCAAGCCAGCAACCAGACAATCAACCAGACCCCATCCAATTTGCACCACGACGTTGAAGAGAGCGGCTAGTCGAGATGGGTACCACCCCATCGTGTAGCGTGCATTCATCTGGCCCCAATGTCAGTTCCACGGTTCAAATAAGGTCGGGCTTCACTGAGGAAATCGAAGCTGGGAAGCATACCAGCGTTCGATTACCAGATACGGGTCCGAATGTACAATGTATGCCGTGCACATGGCGCCGAATATGTTTCCAAATGCGCAGATACTGGTCTCCTGTTCAGCGCGCACTTCTAACGCTTCGCAAACTGCCAAAATCTTACAGCATGGCGTCCTTCAAGCCAAGGTCGAACTCGATTGGACCGAGAACACTGACGGTCATGTTGTTGGCAGTGCAGTTGGCCGAGAACCAGACGATGCCAATTTGGAAGAAATCCTTCATCGAAACCTTGCGTTGACGACTGCACTCCGGCATGCGTTCGATACCGCGGACTTCGACGCTGGTACGAGTCTCCATCCAGTTCGCGAACTTCTGCCACGACGTTTTTGGTCCACCATCTCCAAGGGCTTCTGCCGTCCCCACCTCCGCAAACGAGGCGTCAACAGGGCGCTGGTCCGCCTGCAGCGACAATTTCTCTTCGTCCATGATTTGTATCGAGGTCCTCGTGGCGTCCATCTTCACCACCGACATGGCTAATACCAAGCTATCACGAGATATCGAGAAGAAATTCGAGAAGAAAAAGCAAGTGATCGAGGGCTCTTTCGAGAAACAGGCTCGTAAGACAGGCATGTCTTTCGCTTTTGTAATATAGAAATTGTAGCTAGGCTAAGAAAATGCGTGAGTGTGTCGTTTTTGGCTTATCTGGGACTAGTTCGTGAATCTCCGAAGCAATAGCGGCCCGGAGACAGGACGCAGTATTGTTCCAGGCTTCGTTCGCACCCTTTAGTATCCAGCCAACTGCTGGGATTGCTTTGCTGGAACTGGAAGCCTCTTAGATATGTTATCGACACCTTCCGCACCATTAGCGAAGGGAGAGACCTGATGAAGCGGCATGGTCGTGATATCGTTCAAGCGCGTTGGCACACCGGGTTGACTTCCCCCAGACACGGTGCCCGGGCCCTTGGAATCGCTCACATCAATCCAGTTCAAAATCGAGCAGCTGGACTTATCATTTAGCTCGGCGGGTGGCAGGGACACGGTAGATAAAGGAGGAAGAAACGGGATGAGGCGATAAGCACAGACATAGGACTTTCCCGAAAGATGATACCTAAAGGGAGAGCCTGTGCCACGATCCGCACGGGCTTCTCCTGAGAGTTGAGTCAAGGATTGGGGCTAGCACGGAGCACTGACAAGACAGAGTGACAGAGAATAATGCACATTGTCGTTGTCGACAGGAGAGGAACACAAACAACACTGAGGCAGTGAATGTGTGGGAGAAAGACCCCCGGGGCCAAGAAACACGGGGGGAGCAATGTTCGAGGCTGAATTTACGAGGCTGATGGCGAAAAGGATAGGCACGTGACTATAAAGCATCGAAGCCTTCTTGAGGCGGAGGGAGGTACAGGAGGCTCAGGAGGCGCTAGTCCCAAATAGTCCCGTAATGAAGCGCTCGTAATATTATTACCTCGTAAGTTCCCGCCGAAAGCCATTGACGTTCTCCGCTCACCACCCATACAAATCAACAAATTCATCGATGCATATGAGCGGAGAGCTGTTTGGCACAGCACCGTGACAAGTCATGGAAGAGCTCCATTATGCATTGCAGTCGCTACCGTCTTGTCAACGGTGTCAGCGGCTGAGAAAGAGATGCGATCCTCAAATGCCTGCCTGTCGACTGTGCCAAAGGGCCAAGGTCGACAGCACCATTTTTGACCATGCACTACAGCAGACGTTGTCCCGAAAGTACGTCGTCCGCCTGGCCAAATGAAGGCTCCCGTCTCTGATTCGAGGTAGGTATATCCAGGCTCTCATCTTGCGCCTGGACAGCCTCAAGGGAAAACACGCCCGCTGTTACACTGGAGGCCGATGCTGGTCAACAAGCTCTGCCAGAGGGTAGTCCCAATTGATTAAAAATGCATCAAGCGCGAAGCGACTTCCCTCGCCTCCCGAAAACAGAACCCGATGCTGACCATGGGGGAGACTTTAACAACCATTTCCCTGTTCCCAGCGTCAATGGGTCGACTTCCCGATTCTATGGTTCGAGCTCCGTGTTTGCGCTTATGGTCGAGGCCCTGGCGTTGGCCTCCGACAAGAATCTCTTCATCCCTTCGGGTCCACCGGAGCCTCCTCTTTCAGGTGAAGGACGGCTATGACCGAGATTTGGATTCCGTGGCCCCCACGGCCGTCTTTAATACCGAAAAAGATTTTGCGCAATCACTTATCGCGGATTACATGGCATCCATCAATGTCATACATCCATGCGTTGACGGAACTCACCTGGAAAAGGACCTTGATAGTTTTTTGGCAACGAGTGGAGCTCTGGAGTTCGACGCAGACAAGCTGCAACGGATCGAAAAGTATCAATGCTTCCGCATCGCCATGATGTGTTCCATATCCTGCGCCTCCAATTGGGCTATCACACTGAACAAGGACACTCGGTATTGGAGAGTGAAGACAACAAAACCTGGAGGAGAACAGCCTTTTGGACCCTCTTCTCCATAGAGCGATTGGTAGGGCAATGTTTCGGTCGACCTTCAGATCTGCCCAGTTCTATCGTTACCACAGAATCCAATCGGGCGCACAGATCCGGCATTCTTGGACAATGAATCAAGACGGAAGATGTCAGCCGCTCAAGTATTCCACTTGATGTTCCTTCGCTCAGAGATCTACACAGACATTTACCTTTCCACGACCACCTCCCTCCCGAGGCTGGACTAGTTTCTCGAGCAACACGCCGCGTTGCGACAATGGTACCAAAATCCCAGCCAAAGCCCTCTCATCAACGACAGCCAAAATCTCGTAGGAGTTGGCGAGGTCACGCGCGATATCATGTACCACTCCTCGGTTCTCTTCCTCTTTCAGCGCCATCTTCTCGAGGCTCTGGCCACCATTCGGCACAATAATCCATCACAGCGAGACCTCTCCCAGCCGAAACACTCCCTTACCATCGCCTCGGAACCCTACCACTCCTCGAAAATCCTTCTAAGGTTGTACACCCTTATTATCCGCTCGACGACGTCCAATTCATTCCTATCCATCTTTCCCGTAACTTTCCTCGCCGCATACTCGATCTTCCAAGCGGGCATGACGCTTATATCATACGCCCTTCTCTCTCTTGAGTCAGCCATCGAAATCCAAGGCCCCTCCTCTCTCACTCCCGAAGACCACCGAGACTCAGAGAGGGGAAGAAACGAAGAAACGAAGCTTGATTTCTCGGACCTGCTGAGCCTTTCGAATGATTGCCTAGTATTACTTGCCTGGTGTAAAGAGCAATGGCCTGGTATGGAGGGCATGGTGGACGCGTTTGCAAGATGCAGTGCCGAAACAATACGGAAAGTGCTGAGAGTGCAAAAACGACGAGATTGACGCTCCTGCGTCAGAAGAGAGAAGGCAGAAATAGCGTCCGCCGCTACACCTAATGGCAACCTTCCAAGTCCATCCTGAGCAGGTCTCATGATGGAAGATGCGATTGACGAACTTCGACAGACTTTAAACCTCGTACAATAAAAACGAGGAGTCATCCATGTTTTCGTGACTTCTGTGCTGTGGAACGGAGAGTCGACCTATCTTGCCATGCAAAAAGCTTGCCGCTCAATATTGATCATTGTGGGGTTTCGTGGTTCGAATCGGTCGGGCTCCAGACCTGGAACGAGGAGGGACGCGTCATGTGCTGTGCAGATGAAGACGTTGTCGTTCTCTTTGAGCTCACACATAGCCACACACTCTCCGCGGCGAGTTCTTGGTCGACGAATGTCGACTATTCCCCGCGCAACAGTTCGAACCCTGGACTCATCCGCGATCTCTCCATGTCGGGGAGTGAAGGATGGAAAGGGGCGGATGGCGAACACGGACACGGAGTTGGGAACGCGAGATTTAGCTGGTCGGTGGGCGCTGGAATTTTCACAAGTCTCGCGTACCCAGACGTCCGCAGAACTACGCATAAACCGATTAGTACACAGGGCAGAGGGCAGAAGTCGCTGTACATGGCCATCAGTGTCCTGCTTTGACGGATATGGTTTGATGGGTACTTAAATCTCGACGATGGTGGTGAAAGTGCATATAGAAGCGGTCGCGTGCTATGAGTTAGGGCAATCAACAGGAGTAAAGAGTATGCTGTCCTCGGCACCCATGGGTAACGAGTGGACAGAAGTTCACTGATTCTACGATCCGGACTTGATCCCAGACATCAGCGCCCATCACCACGAAGTTCCAAGAGTGGACCATGAACCTGGCAATGCTCTAGCTGTAATCCCAATGATCGATACCGACCCTGCAAAACCTCACGTCTTCCTTATAGCAGACTGCTACTAGTTTTTCTCTATGTGGGGGATGAAATCCTGGCGAAATGGAACAACGAGGTGAAAGTGAGAAGCCTGGAGGCCCTCTAAAGAACGGTTTATCTGTGCATGTCCATCACATCTTGCCGACTCAGACTATTATCACCGTTGCCGGGGACGACTGGTTTACTCGACCCAACTTGGCGCTCGGAACATGTATCAAGGCTTGGGATCCAAAACAGTTGCGTATCGCCCCTGCACGGGCATCTTGGTAGGTATGCTATCTCACCTTTTAGACAAATGCTTTACTCCAAGTCGAGTTTTTCAAGCAATGCGTCATTTCGCCTTTGACCATCAACCCCTGAAACATCAGCGCGAGCACTGAGATTCTTATACGATCAAGCACCGCTAGCCTTCAGCATGCTTTGCTGTTTTGCCTCTTCCACTATTAGTGGATCCAATCCTTTAAACACTCCAAACCCAGCAAGGCTGCGATCACCGTGCTCACCACCATCGGCGGAACAAAGAAGTAAACGTAGCAAAGCAGCATATTGACAAAGTTGCTGAGAAACAAAATCCACTTCAACGTGCTCAACAGCTCCTCCAGGCGCATTCCTTCCTGGCCCCTCGTTGCCGCATTCCCATCGCCATCATCTGCCCTCTTCGCCTCTCCTTTCGGCTCACTTCGAGGCGCAAAACGCAGTGCCATGGTATGACCAGTGGTGGTTGGATGAGCGCTCAAGACCCATGATAACGCGGCGCTCATGGACAAAAACACCGTTGCGCCTAAGCCAAACCCCATGTAGAAATCATGCAAGGTCCTCAGGCGGCCCATGAAATTGAATCTCACGGTCTGCATGGCGGAGAAAAGAGCGTTGCCCTCCACACCGAAGTCGTTAGGGAGGAGGAGGCCGCCGATCGTGTGAGTGGTTGCGAAGAAGATGAGTAACGCAGCGGTGAGTTTGTACATGTTCATCACAAGCAATCTTGAGAAAAGCGACGACTGCGATGGAGATAGGGTATTTGACGAAAGCGGTTCTGTCGAGATGTGTTTAGGACGCACAGATTGGCGAGTTGAGACAGGCATTGCTTCAAGTTCTGGAGCCCTTCAAGAAATTGGTGGCTAATATCAATAGAAAGGGACTTCCTCCATGTCACGCCATCAAAAGCGCGTTGTTTAAGTGAATACTAGGCAGATTGTGAAGAAGAAGATCTGGCGTTTGGTGAGACGAAGGTTAGAACTGGATTCGAAACTATACCCAGGGAGGTGTAGCCGACTCGTCGTATTCGTATTTCTTTTCTCTTAGATTAATTGCACATCGATGTACTCGGTACCAGCTCCCAAGACATTATTAATACACTACATGTTGCACCTAGAATCCCTAGTGGACATGGACAATGACGTTGAAAAGGCTGGATATTTGGACAACGCGCTATTCGGTGGTTATCCTTAGATAATCCCGCTGAGTCAGCTCACAGCTAAGCATTCGAACAAGCCGTTCAGGGGCTGGCAGCCTTGTGCTACAGTGGCGGCCTGATTTCTCCATGGAACTATCACTCAAGTCCTGAGTACTTTTAGAAGGAATGTACCGTCTTTGATCCTATTTCCTTTCCATTTATTCACACTGTATCTACAAAAGTCTAATTTATAGCGATGCGCTGCTTTCACCCGAGCGATTCTGCCCCCAACAACAGAACCCTTTTCACAACTCCATAATCGCTCCGTCATACTGACGTACTGGGTCTTCTCCCTATGTCATCTATCTCGTGTCAGTTCTCTACCATATCGTGTACATATATATCACAAGCTCGCCGAAATTGCACGGCGACTTCGGCTGCGAATGTTTGGTCCCCACTTATACAGTACCCAAGGAATGGGCACCATTGCGGCGGAACAGGCTCCCAAGATGCTGGTGGCTTTTCCTGTGCCCAAGGACTCGTACACTAAAATAGACACAACGATCAGTATGCTTAATGTATCTGCTCGACTCCTCTACGCTTACTTTGCACGGCGAAAAGAGGGAAAGCCGCCGCAAAGCCATACCGGGCGAATGCGTTTGCGGCTCCAGCTGAAGCACCATAGGTGGGTCCATAGATGTTGACCAGGTAGCTGATGGCGGAGGCCTGGAAAGCAATGTCAGTTCTGGTAAATGTCATGGATAGTATTGCCTTACAAAGATACAAAGATTGCCCCAAGCGAATGGGATCAAAGCACAAACGGGGCTTGCCCAATGGATATCCGGTCTGACAGTCCAGGCAAACCAGAACAGGCCGATCGGAATTCCAAAGCTGCCAAAAACCGCTGGCACGAGAATATCTTCGAGCTGGTTCGGCCGCGGTTCTTGAAGACCTTTTTGCTTTCTCCTTAGAACCAAGTCTATGCCGACACCCGTCGCAGTGGCACAGAAACAGCCGATTGCGATGGCAACAAATGCGAGCCCCGACTGGCCCTGATTGAAGCCATAGGTCCTAGACAGGGACCAAGGGACTGCCGGAAAAAAGTTGTACAGGATGCCGAAGTTAAGGGCCACGTAGAGACTGAGAAAGAGGACGATCGGCTCTGTCACCTGCATCTGGAGCGGCCTCCCTAGAGTGGTGGACACCCACGCCTTCAAGGCCTTGAGCATATCTGCAGCCTGGATAGACTCCGCCTGAGACTTTGCATTGGTAATCAGCAGCTCCCTTTTAAGTTTCTTCAATATAGCCTTCTTGTACGTCTCAGACATTCCCAATGCCCAGATGTACGTCAGCAATGCGAGGAAAAGGGAGACCCACTCAAGCCACCTCCACCCTTTGTTTTCCTGGACGAAGCCACCTATCACTGGACCTGCATTTTATTCTCGTATCAGTATTAGATTGTCGTCAATCAAGCCCGACATACCTAAGCTTGGCCCAAGGTTGGGTGCCATCACAAAGACCGACGCGGCTCGATTCCTGTACCGTGGTTGCCATATGTCTGCAATCGTTCCTCCACCGACACTTAAAGCAGGACTTCCAAAGAATCCAGCAAGGAACCGACAGATGAGGACCGACGCAAGACTGTCTGATAATGCAGCCCCCATCACAAACAGAGCGGCTATCGGTAAACTGAGACGGTAGATCAGAAGCCTGCCGACCGTCTCACTCAAGGGAGCTGCAATCATAGGTCCAAACGCCAATCCCAGACAGAACAGTGATACTCCTAGGAGGGAGACAGTCGAAGAGACATGGTATTTCTGCATCACTTCCCTGTAACCGGACGAGTAGATGGACGACATAAAGGTACTAAGGAAAGCCATCAGAAATTACCCCATTGGATCAGTTATGGTTGGATGTGCATACATGGTAAAAGCATACATCGCGCAGATACTCGTGTGATAGATTTTCTTGCAAAGACTCCAGTTGTTTGGATTGGCAGGACTGGCGTTCCACTGAACTTGTTGCTCGTTGCCGTGGTCTGCCATGGCGACAGGCTTGTCGTCAATGTTGAGAACGTACTCATAAACTTCCGTCTTCGTTGCTCTCGAAGACGATGCTGTAACAGGCCCGCCAAGTATTCTTTTCTCTACTTGAGGGGGAAAAAAATGGAGGCCAGAAAGCTGATAAATCGGGTTTCAAGCCACGTCAACACTCCTGTCTAATCATTGTTCTAGCTATTTGCCTACGCGCCTCAGAGCCCTTTCACCCCGCTTAAAACCCCCGGTTCGACAATGGTTATGGCCTGCATTGTGGTGCAGGCCGGCGAAGTCTCGGGGATGGAACCATTAATGATTAGTATCGCAGGTTCGGGGAGTGACCGATATGCTTCGAATTAGACATCCGCATCAGTTGTCCCGACGCGTCCACTGGTAGTCCTATACCGATTCGGCAAAGCCTCGATTGCAACAACTGATTTATAAGCACTTGCCGATTTCAGCGCCGCTATTCCTCCACTGCGTTGCCTACGGCTATGCAGAACTTCAGAGCAATTTACAGGTCCTGAATTCAGAGAGCTCGGAAAGCAAGATTGAGAGCTGCGAGTAGTTCATAGGAGTAGAGTAACTAATATTACCTGTCTGATCCGTGAGCATATTCTTGGGCAAGTAACACCCAGAGTGAAGCAGTATGGCAGTTACTTCGTTCCAGCATTTCAGTGCTACATGTAGGTCGTCGTAAGTTTCCGGAGTTACTGGACAAGCATGGCTGGCAACGTCCACACAAATTTCATAAATTCGCCCCCTTTTGGTCCTTAATGGCCGCCAGCCACTGTTTGAGAGTCATGACTTCCTCGAAAAGGGTCGGCCACACAACCTCTCCAGCTTCCTTGAGCTTGTTACTGAAACCTGCTGTGCAGTCCGAGAGTAAGGTGACTTTGTAGCCCAACTCAATCGCCTCTCTGGCTGTCGCCTCGAGACAAGTATTCGCCACCATCCCTGCCATGATCAAATGATCTATCTCTCTCTGGCGTAACTGATAATCGAGATCCGTGTTGCGAAAAGAGCTGGAGTTCCAATGCCTGCTCACGACAACGTCTCCGTTGCTGGTGTTGGGTTCCAGTCCCTCGACGATCTCGGCCCCCCAGCCGGCAAAGACCCTTTTGTCTCTGTTGCGAGTGTGATTGGTGCGCATATGTAGCCAGCCGGCGTAGGTGCCATCTTGGGTCATTTGGTGAAGGCCATAGTAGATAGGGATGTTCGCAGAACGGGCACTATCTACAAGTTGGCGGATGTTGGCCAAGGTGCCTGTCGTGTCAAGGCTTTCCTTCAACGACAGATACAACTTCCCTTCTGGATGTAAGAACTCGTTGAGTGGATCAACCAACACTATCGCTTGACAGAGAGTCATTTCAGCTGCAGCAGTGACATAATTGAGAGATAACGAAGAGCTTTGACCCAAGGTCTGTTGATTGAGGATAAATAGCACGCACAGAGTTGAGTCACTGAGCAAACCTCCGCTGACTTGGCCACCTTATACCCCCGAGGTGAACAATCGACGAAGGACCGGTTATTGAAATGATTAGTTTGTCAGCATATACCAGAGTTGCCGAGGCTGACATTTGGGAAACTGAATCGAAGCTCTTTCACGGCTTGTTCTGCAAGGAGTCCGTCCATGAAACGACTCAGTATCTTGGCGAATTGAGAGCGCCATCATCTCCAGCGGTAACTCTTGCCTCGACAGAACTCTTCACTTGATTGCCTATACCGATCAGAGCATAGACTGCTCGGGTTGGCTGTGGCTACTCGCTACACGAACCAGCACGAACGGAATGAGCATGAGTTCTATGATGATTTGTCAGCTTATTCGCCTATCCAGCTAGATACCTGCCACACCTCTTATGAACCCACCTAGTCAGTCTCGCAATGGTTAGCAACTCATGGTATAGAAAGTGAAAGTTCCTTCACTTTCGGAATGGCAAGTAGAAGGAGAATGTGCTCAATTTGCTCCTATTATCTTCAGATTGCATTTTGTTTCAATTTGGCAAGGCTGTCAATGTAATAAAGGGGAGGACTCGCTCGGTGCCCCGGTAAAACATCAGTGCTGACAAATCACCCCTTTAAAGTCTGGTCACGTGCTACCACGGGGGGTACGGGTCTGATTTATCTGCGACGAGAAATGCGACTCAGCAATTGATTGATCCTACGGAGTAGTAATCACTAGACTGAATTTGAACATTCTCGATCACGGCTGCGATCCAGGACCGTACTCCCTTTCTTCGACCGTCCTTGCCGTGTGCTGCTAATTTGAATGCGCAGTCATGGTCCGAGGAGGTAGTGGTAGACGTCGACACAGCGCAAAGCGCAGGAAGATTGACGCGACAGAGACGCTTGCAATCGACCTAGAAAGAGAAAGTGGAGCGCTGAACGATGATATGAAGGATCCCTTGCTAACTTCAGCAGTCAGATGCACGGAAACCACGCGTGGAGCAGCCAGCCAGACTGAGAAAATCCCCTACTCCATCGAGACCGCCGACCCATGCGGTGCCAATCGTCCGTCCTCCAGACGCGCCCTTCCATTCTGGCGCGATACAGCTCTGGGTTGTGCGCAATTCAGAAGGCAAAAAGCAGCTGGTTTCGGAGAGGGTGCCGGGATGTCGACATTGGAGGAGTAGGTGCCGCTCTAGACTCATCGCCAAGGTCAAGAATATACTGACACAGTCTTTGAGTCGGGGACCCTAACGTGTCTTTCTGTTTCGAATGCAAGAAAGAGGGTGACGTGGTGGGGTGTAAGACATGCAAGAGGTCGTATCATATGGCTTGTTTGGGTGAAAATGTACCAGCAGAAAATACGTCGACAAATGCATTCTACTGCCCAGCTTGCATCGAGCGCGGTTGGAATGTGCAGCCTCCTCCAGAAATTCTACCGCTGACGCCCGCCTCATCTCGTGAAACCAGCCCGGCCCCACAAAGTGCAAGAGACACAGCGGCCTCAGATTTTCGCCAGCAACCTGATCAAGTGGCAGCGGGAGAGCAAGAACGCCATGTGCACACTGGGCTGGACCAGTCTTTCAAGAATCCGCAGACTATCTGCGAAAGCTCTGCTCCCAGAGCCTCTGTCACAGTGCCTGATCAGATACAATCACAACAGCAGCCTTCACAAGATCACAATACGTCATTCGGAACACGACCTAGCCAGGTCGTTAAAGCCCAACAACAACAACAACAACAACAACAACAACAACAACAACAACAACAACAACAGGAAGCTTTATTGAACAGGCTAAGAGGAGACCGCTCCTCAGCGTCCTTCCGGTCCCCTATGCCCATTGACAGTACTGTGAATCAAACAACTGCTGCATCTAGATCGAACCGGGCAAAGTCCAGGTATCAAACCATGCCTGATGAGGTGGACCAAGCGCTCACAGTCATATATCGTGAACTGGAGTCCGTCACAGCTCTGAGGCAAGACATTGCTGAGCTTCAAGATCGAGTCAGGGCCGCCGAGCAAGCGCGTCAGATTTCAGAAGGCCGTCTGGCTCTTGAACGCTCAAGTCGAGAGGCCACTGCCAGCAAGGATGCCGAAATAGACTCTCTAAAGCAGCGCCTTGCTGCGCTAACACGGAGCCACGAATTGCTCGTGCAAGAGAACAATGCCCTGAAACAACGCATGCAAGACGAACAGACGTTCACTAAGGCGAGGCTGGAGGAGATGCAAGCCCTGAAGGCGAGTCTTCGCCGGTTGCTTGGTGATTGAAAGCGTGCAGCCCCAATGTCGAGCAGCGACTTTATCAATGATTCGCAGACCATGTCTCCACCATTGGGGACGTTGGAAAATCCACAAAGGATAGCCAATGATACTTTGGAAAGCCTGAGGAAGCTGGTCCGACCAGTATTCACTGCTTAATTGCTCGAGTGTGCTTCAGAAACACTCCATGACAAATGAGGGAGCCGGAATTCCAGCTGGAGTGTTGTTGAACAACCAAGCGAGGGCCGGCCAGTACGTCTATTAGCGTTGGCTGTGCTTGAGTCCTGGGATAACACTGACAACGTGGTAAAGTCCTTGCCATAAAATCTGTAGACCGTCGACCGTACACGGGAAGACCTTGAACCTCAGCAATAACACATTTAGAAGGGGTTGCAAGATTCCCTGCAGAATTCAATGTCCTCTCCCACAACGATAAGTTAGGTATCCTTTATAATTACACCCCATCAACTCTACAACTCGCATTCATTTCCATCTGTTCCACTAACATAGTCAGCTCAGATCATTACCGCATGATCTTAATAAGTTCGAAGGCTCAGGTTTCATGCTTGGACTCGGGGCGAATGCTCCATGAAGAACATTCAGGGAGCACCAAGGTGCAAAGCGCAGTTCAGGGCACAAGGGCACATTGTTAACAGGAGGCTTGATTGGTAATCACGGATGGTCCCCTTTAACCGAGCCTTCCAGGGTTTGGCGGTTCCAACACTGACCAAACCGATGCTACTTTCTCTTTGGGTTTTTTATCTCTGGAACCCTCGATGATAGGCATCCATTCACCGCTTTCGTGTCAAAGGTAGCCGGAAAAGCATGCCCAACCTCTTTATTTTTCAGGAAATATAGTTAGTCTACTGTACTTCGACCTTCAGGTAGACAGGGAACAACGCTTCAACCTCTCATTCTCTGATATTTCGGCCTCCATGCCGGTGTTACGATCTCCAATCAAGGAAGAGCTAGGCACTCCATCTCGACTTGTGCCCCAAAGGGGAGTCCAACGACTTGCACGCACGTCCTGGTCTGAGAGCTCACGGGTCAGCAATCAACTTTGAAACCTCGTTCACCACGGTATTTAACGCCCAAGATCTCCGAGAAAGAGGAGGGTAGGTTTAGAAGAAACTCAACTGGCTGTGGATCCTCAAATGCGCCCGTATACGCCTCGTTTATGGTTTCGAAGTCGCGCATGTCGGTCACGAAGACGTTGACCTTGACCACCTTTCCAAGTCCCGATCCAGACGCCTCTAGAACAGCTTTCATGTTCTTTAAAATCTGACTCTTCAGCGTTGGGGAAAAGCCGCATCAGTCACAAGTAGCTCTCCTTGGGTGGAAAGGGGGAAAAGGAAGAACGATCATTGACACACCGTCTGCTCCTTGACGTCTCCAGAGACGAGATCACCGGTGCGTGGATCTATGCCAACGGTCCCGGACACATAGATCGTATCTGTCGTCTTGATCGCCTGGGAAAACACGGGCAGCGGCTTCGGGGCAGCGTCGGTGAAGACAACATTGTTGCGGCGCACATTGACACTCTCTGTCGTCGACATGGCTGAGAGAGAGACTGACGAGGCTGCAGGTTGGCACAAAGTTCGTGTTCTTAAATCGAATGTATCTCGTCGAGTAGTCAGAAAGACTCTCTCCACTTTCTTTGAATCTGTAGTTGTGTCTCACGAGACTAGCAAGCGATGGGCTGAGGACCACATCCGCCGGGTGCGGGCCGCTGTTCTGCGTATTCGATGGGCTGGCGAGGCTGCGTATTCGTCAACAACCGGCCCGCTGCGTATAGACGAAAGCGTTTCCCGGACCACGATTTGTCATTGGCGTTTTCCGGACGCTCTCTCCTTTGGATGGGGTCTCCTTTCGTGATAATGTTTTACTTCGCGGACAACGCTCCGATTGCTATTGCCCTTTGTCTTCTCCAGATAGAATAGAAATCTACAAAGACTTTCGGCCTCACAGTCTCACCAGCAGTAGAAAAAGATGCCTATCAAGAGCGAGACACCTTCTCAATCCGATATGAAGGATAGCCTTGACGGGCTCGTTGTGCAGATGACGGCCTTAACAGCCTGCAATGACAACAACAAGAGCGGGGAGCTTGCTAGAACCACATTTGGCAGTCCGATGAAGGACAAGCACTTCCTCTTTGCAAGGGATTATACGAATCTCAATCAAGGTATCGTCCCTCTACGTCTGGCCCTTGGAAACTCTGTTGCCCCGACATCCCAATCCTAACAATCAACTCCTTCGTAGGCTCCTTTGGCGGTTATCCTCGCCCCGTCCAGACCGCCCTGCGTCACTATCAAGAAGCTGCAGAGGCGGAACCCGACATGTTCATCCGCTACACCTACCCTCAACTCCTGCGAAAAAGTCGAGCTTTGCTCGCGGACATGCTGCATTGTCCCGTGGATGAGCTGGTTCTGTGTTCCAATGCCACAACCGCCACGAACACGGTACTCCACAACCTCCGTTGGGAAGAAGGCGACAAGATCGTCTATACTTCTGGTGTCTATGGGGCACTGGAGAAGCTCATAGATTATGTCGTGGAGACAACCCCGGCTGAGAGCGTGAGGGTTGAGTTGGATTTGCCTCAGAGCGACGACAAAATCGTGCAGCTCTTTCGCAAAACATTGATAGAAGAAAAGCTCAAGTGTGAGCAAGCTGGGAAAGGACGAGTTCGGTTGGGCGTCTTCGACACAATAGTCAGCATGCCTGGCCTGCGGGTGCCATTTGAGAGACTAGTGCAGTTGTGCCGACAAGAAGGCGTGCTGAGCCTGGTAGACGCTGCACATGGAGTGGGCCACATTGCTCTGAACCTCACTGAGCTGGACCCGGATTTTTTGGTTACCAACTGCCATAAATGGATGTTTGTTCCCAGGTCAGTTGCGGCCTTTTTCGTGCCAAAAAGGAATCAGCACTTGATTCGAACGACCCTTCCGACATCTCATGGGTTCCAACCACAGAGGAGCAACGAAATACATGATCCGATGCCTACCTCCGAAGAGACAAACCCGATGGTGAAACAGTTCGAGTATTTTGGGACCATTGACGGAGCCCCGTACTGTTGCATCGAGGAAGCAGTTCGTTTTCGCAACGAGGTCTGTGGCGGAGAAGCAGCCATTCGAACATATTGCACGTCCCTCGCGAAGAAGGCCGAAGAGGTGCTTGTGGAAGCTCTGGGGACGGAGACGTTCGACATTCCAGAAACACATCGTGTTTTCTTTGCGCATGTTCGACTGCCGATCTCCGTTGGGAATGGAGCTGGATACGATGTGCTCCCAAGCGACGTCCCGGTCGTCACCCAATTCATGAACAAGGAGTTTGCGGAAACATATAGAACCTTCTTTTTTGTGTTGTTCTATCGAGGAGCATGGTGGGTTCGCATGAGCGCCACAGTATACGTTGATATGGAGGATTGCAAATATGCGGCCTTCGTCTTGAAAGACTTGAGCGAAAGGATATGTAGGAAGGAGTACTTGTCGACTAACGCAGCAAGGGAAGAGAGATGACTTTTTGCAGTAGCCTTTGATGCTTCGGATCAGAGTTGAGAAGATGATTCCAGAAGACCGGTATGTCGACTGCAAGAGCAACTTTTCCCAGTGATACTAGCAAGGAGTAGTCAGAAGCCGGAAGCTGGTGCCAACATATCGCCGGTGGCAAAAGCATCTCACAAAGCCATTGGACCAGCTTCCTTCCTTCGACAACATTTCTCAGAGAATTTTGATATAGGAGGGATTAGACTCACTGGCCAAAAAGCTTTTGGCTCGGCTCTGTCCAAGCTGACCGCGCTAATATCGCCCAAGCGTCAATTCCGTTTCCCAGAATAGCCCAACAGACACTATTTCCCTGGATCATATCTTTGTCGTCTCCAGCCCAACACCAGCCACCCTGCGCGCATCTAAACGGCGTCTGCGATTGTAGACATATGGGGCCATGATTTCCCAGTCCGACGGTCGTGGTGTCCCACCTCTTTCTCTAAGCCGGCAGAGCGGCTCGCAAATCTCTGGCCCATCCCAGAGCTCCTTCGCTGAAGATCTCCCCGCTTGCACCCAAGGCATGGCCGCAATCAAGAAGGAGAGTCCGTACGATCGCTTTGCTTGGATCCCGTTCCTGCACATGATAGATGTGGCTGGTGCACTTTTCACAATAGTAACATGATACGTTCTTGCCACTCGCACCTTGGTATTCATATACCCTCAGACGTTCACGGCCCTGTGATATGACCAAGTCCTCGCTGGAGATGATGTAGTTGCATGTGTAGGGAGCTCCAGATATCTTTTTGCAAGTGTCGCAATGGCAAATCACATGCGTGGGTGGCTTCCCGCTAGGTGATCTCATGTAGAAGTCGATCAACCCGCACTGACATGCACCTCGATATGACCGGTAGTTATCACTTTTCGACTCAGGTCCATGTCCAGGACCAAGTAATGATCCGTTCACGAAGTCTTGGATTGGACGACATGTCAATATAGAGCCCTCAATCCGTAACAGAATATCATCCAGACGTACCTACAACCACAGAGTCCTCAATCAAAGGGGCAGCATCCACACTAAAAGCGCGATGAACGGGATCCTCTAGTAGATAAAAGTCTCTGTCCTCGACATTGGCAAACTCCAGGACGATACAATGCGTCATTCCCTTTGCGAAGTTTTCCCAACTGTGATTCTTCCCCATGGACATCGATAAAATATATGGTTTTCCGGTGGCAGCAGGCTTGACACATGTTGATTTCAATTTGGTCAAGTCTGCGAAGTGGTGCTCCAGTTCTGTCCAAGGCACCGAAGAGTGATAACGGAACAGGACAATTTGTGTAACTCGGTGTTGGTCGGATACTGCCATGATGTAGCAAAATATTGGGAAACGTGATAATGTTGGACCTTCATGTTCGCCGCGTTGATGCATGTTTATACGTCCTGACATGTCTAAACGATGGTGCATGACGATTTGGAGTATGATTCGCCACTAATTTCCCTTTTGAGACATGAACTTTCTGCGAGACGCTTTTTGGCGGCGGAAGAGCATTCGGAATAACCTACTCCTATAAGCAGATCCAGAAAACAATGGTGGTACTCATACTCCGAGGTTAGCATTCTCTGGATGCAGCTCTTTGGCCCACATGCGGCACGCGGTAGATTTCAACAAACCCCAGGAAACTCTCCGGAGCGGGACGACCTTGTTAAGAGGGCATTTTTACCTTCAAGTTGCATACTACTTCTAAAGTCTCCGAATGAATTACCAGGAATTAATCGTGTAAGCAGTTTGAGGTTCAAAGTTGTGAAGAACCAAACGAGCTCGCTCTGCCAAGGCCACTGGCGCCTGACTCGCAGACCTGCGGATAGATGACTCGTGTGCCCATGACGTGCTTCATGCGGTCCTTCAGCTCGTAGATCCTCATTTTGACTCAAGGCAGAATAGCCTACAACCTGTGAGTGTCCGAGCATCGCACAGGCTGCCGCAAAGGCCCCAGACAATGGCGGACGCAGATGAGGATGTCATCCCGCCAGCCTCTGCCTCTGGTCCCGACGACCTCGAAGACGAGACCCAAGATTTCCGCTTCCTCAGCCAGTTGACATCCGCGTCAAAGACTGGTCAAGCCATAATCCCCAAGCGTGGTACAAAGGACTTCGAGCCAAACCCCACGCGATCGCAGGCCTCAGCCCTTGATGCTTCGCGCCTGGCAATGCACACCGCCCTTAGCGCGGTACGTGTACAGACAGCCAAAAACCACGTCGTGGGACAGTATCTCCCTGACGAAGACGATTGGAGATGGGATGGCGATGAGTCGGCAGGCAGAAACGGCCGGTGCGTTGTGGTGTACAAGTTCAAGAGCCCGCATTTGAAGGTGATGGGACAAGCGGACAGGAATAACTGGGTTTGGCTGTTGCCTGAAGAGGCGCTGTTTCTGTTGGAAAGGGGGAGCCTTGATATCAGATGGCCGGATGTCAACAACGAGGATAATGGTGTGCTGACTGGAAAGGAGGGGAAACCCTGCAACGTCGCCACCGCAGAGGAAGATGCTGCTGCTCAAGAACCACTGACCGTCGCGCCAGAAAATGAGACGGATACTACAACGACTCCGAGTGTGGAGCCTTCCGTAGGCGAGCTCCCGATGAGTCTCCAGGGTGCCTACGCCAGCTTCATCGGCAAAGATGGCTTGACATTAGAGCGATATACGGTTTACGCAGGGCTCAAGAGAGCGGGATATATTGTTCAGCGGGCCCCGACCTGGAATGATACACATCCTTCCCAAGCGAATGGACACGGCTGCCAAAGTGTATTGTCGCGCATTTCACCATCTCCACCGTCGGCCTCCGCTTCTGGCAGATCTCAATATCGAGGGACAGTCGCGACCCTCGTCAACAGGTTGGTATCCTGGCTCTTACAACCTAGTCAAGATAGGTCTTGTCCTTCACTCGGGCCCCTCGTCGCTCCAGGCCTGTACAGGAACTATGCAGATATATTCCGCGCGCTGGCATTAATTCCTTATCACGAGCCTTCTAGCACCAATACAACTCACAACTCACATCCTCTGTCCTCGCCACGACAACAGGTCCCCGAAGCCCCTTTCCGCATCCACTTCCACGTCTGGAAGCCCAACGTCTCTGCAACCTACAAGAAGACCTCACCACCGCCAGAAGACTACCGAATCTGCGTGGTCGACGCTCGTTCGACGCCCTTGATGCCATCCTTGTCAGAGATAGGCCCTCTTCTGGATGTTCAGCCTGAAGATTCTCTCTCCAGAGCGCAGGCAGGCAGATTAGAGACGAGGCTCAAATATGGACGAAGGAATGTGCTATTGGCGGTGGTGGACATGGGTGTCGTGAGCTATCTGAGACTGAGTGACGCATGTTTCGGAGCTGAAAAGCTGTACGAAGAAAGAACCAGGGCAGGGACAAAGGGACGATCCAGGAGACCACACGGTCAGGGCCAGAGCCGGAGACAAGGACAAGGCCGGAAGTAAGACGAATTCAGATGACTACGCAACGGGCGCCTCGCTAAGTGCTTGAGGCGTCTTTCTCGAGGATTTGGTTTCTCCAGATGGAGTTGCTCCGTGGCAATGGGAGTTTAAAGAAGAGGGAGGGTCGGACCTGGACGAGAGGAACAAATAGCGTCTTTCTTCTACCTTTGCCGCTGCAATGAATGGATGCGCTACGCAACTTGCATGGACGGACGGGGGGACGGTTTTTCTGCGAAACGGGCATCTCAGGAACAGGACTGGACGCATAGATACTTAGACATGATACCCCACTACCAAATAATATATATAGACGGCGTTTCTATAACAACGAGACGAGACGAGACGGGAGGACTCGACAAATGCAGTGCATGAACGGACCAAGGTCCCATGTCTCGCCTTCGAAATCGATGATCGATCAACGACATACCATAAATTTCACACCCAAAATCCAACACAAAGGCTCAATGATTATAGAACAGAGATCGGTGAAACCTTTCAGGGCAAGGAAAGGAATAGACTGAGAAAATCTGTCTCCCCGAGAGAGAACGTCCGCGTTTATTCACCACGGCGAATAGGGCGAGCGGACTGCCTGATGATCTAGGGAATTTCGTCATCTTCCATCTTCTATAGACGTCGGCCTGTGGGAGAGTAGGCAGGTTCTAGTGTCGCGACGTATATGCTTGAGATGGGTGTGGGATGTGAAGCATGATGAGAGGAATTTTAGAGGGAAGGGGACTAAGGGCAGCTGTTTCTTGGTCTGGGAAAGCGAGAGGCGATGAAAGTATTGAGCTGCTAGGAGGAATTTGGGAAACGAGAGTGGAACAAGAAGCCAACTGGATATCAGTAGTGGTGTAAGGGGTGTCTGGGAAAAGTTGGGAGGAATCGTGCTGAAGATTTTGCGACTGTCGCGGGTCAGCTGTTCCTTTTTTCCTTCTTTCTTTTCTGTTTTCTTTAGTCTCATACGGCTCAGGCTCAGACAGACCTTGAGCTCTTCCGAGTCCCCTCATTTGCGGGTTGCTCGGCGACGGCGGGAAGCGATACTCAACACGCCTTTAGTTTGCACTTGGAAGCGCACTTCATCTTCCAGTTCTGGGTCATCGCATGAGTCGTCGCATAGGAGCCGAGCTCCCCTGCTGCTTCTCCTCACATCGTCGTAAAAGGGTCGTCCACGACACGAGGACCTAGATGAGACTGAGTACTAGACTAGATCCTTAGTGCTGGTACTGGATTCATGCAACTCCCAGTGCTGTACTAGCCGACCGAAGCTCCTACGTTTGGCAGCATCCCCCAACAGCATCGTCATCAGGGCTCAAGAACCAGAATATCGAAGCCCCGTCTCCACCGATGGTGTGGGAGATTTCGCTGTAGGAAGAGAGTTCTGGGGTTCGTAAGTCGTGCCATGACCTCGCCTTTAGGGCTATCTATCGATGTTATATCCTATGCTTGATGGGTGTCGCCTAGGCTCTCTGGATTCGTGCAAAACGCCATCTCGATTTCTGTCAATTCCGTACCGAAACATCGTGACTCATTGTGAGATCATTAAGTCAGCAGCAAGAAGTCGGCCGCCATGAGTAGCTCCAGGCATAGCTCCGAGGGAATGTCCATATCTGGCACGCCCTCACTGTTCCGATATTTCTCATTGTAGTAAAAGTACTCGACGACTTTCTCGAGGACGTTGCCGCTGATGTTCTCGAGGTGGCAGACCCCCGTCTGGGCTTCGGCGAAGTTACCTACACAAGGACCTTTGCGTTAGCTCCATCGGTTTCAGAAATTGAACGGAGAGGGACACATGCAACGTACTCTGCAGGTCAAGCATGCGCCTGAGTGTGGGAGACACGCAGGCAGCGGAGCGGCGGACGTGGAATTCAAAGCCATCAGACGAGACCAGCGTCACAAAGGGCGAAGGGACGCCGTTGGCAGCCATAAGTGACAGAGGATTTTGAGAAAGAATGACAGCAGATGTTATTTGAGAAGTGCGTTACCGAGTACAGGGTCAAAGGTTTAGCAGAAGGAAAAGAATACACACAACGCGAAATGGGTGCGTGGTGAATTAAATCAAGGCGGTCAAGGACGGCAGAATTGGGTAGAGCACTAAAGCGGCGAGTCTTCGAACAGCAGAACAGGTATTGAATCTTCACCCAAACCACTCGAGACCACTCAAGGGAATGGATTCTGACCGCGTCCATATCTGTCTTCATGTCTTCGTTCGTTTCTTCTCTTCTCGTTGATATATCTTCTGTTGAATTATCCCCCTGGAGGAGATCACGCCCACCCATGATCTGTTCCAATGGCAAGCCAGCTCCTCCAATACTGAGCTCCATGTCCAACGAGCTTGTCTTGAGACCACTCATGCCCATTTGTTCTTTCCATCCGATGCGAGCACTAAATGCCCTTTTGAGTCTAAAGTACAGGAGTAAGTGCTGGCAAAATCTCACCTGCGGTGAAGAGAATGTGTAAGATGTGAGGGCGAGATACCTGTCGTTCCACTGTCAGTCACAAAGGACCGTCGACATGACCCGTCTAGTCCTTCGGATCTGTAGAACACATCGCCAACGACGCTCATGTGATCATTCCCTTTTCTGGATCAACCTAGTCGTCATCCGCGATCACAAGCGCCCCGTCATCCTCGTCGATTACAATTGCTTCCGTACCCCGATTATTCGTGAATCCCGCTGATGACAAGCCTTGCAATTTCTTTGCCGGCGTAGCTCCCTCGTCTCCCTCGTCGTCGAGGGGTCGCTTCCGCTTGCCTGCTGGAAGTGTAGTCGCGCTTGAAACACCGTTCGCAATAATCAAGCCATCGGCATCATCATTGTCGGCCTGATCACCGTCAGGGACGGGTTGTTTCTTCGGTTTCCGCGAAATCTCCAATGCCTCGCCTTCGTTCTCGACCAGGAAAACGGCTTTGGTTTCGTCTTCTGGTTTCTTCGCTTCGATAGCTATTTGGAGGTCGACTCGGGGATCCTCGTTCTCGTCCTTGACCAGAATAAAACTCGCGTCCCCAATATTCAAATCGGACAGCTTTTTCTCCAGATTGTCTTCAAGGTCTGGGTCATATATCAGGCCGGCCTCACTCATGACAGTTACTTCCTCTCCATAGCCTAGTCTGGTTCGTAGAACGTCTTGGACCAAATCTCCGAGCGTGGCTTTTTCAATATCGACATGCACCCTTGCCATGGCAACGCTGCAAACAGGACACTCCGGGTTGGGTGAATCCAACTGGTCGGTTCGCAGTGAACCAATCCCCAGCCAGAGCCACCTAGTCCGGGCATAGTCGCCTTTCAATACCTTGAACGCTTGCAATACGCAAAGACCGGCGACCATGGCATTTGTGGTGGCAATTGCGGGGATGATATTGCCTGCCATCTGCTTGATGTCGAATTTTGACTTAGGTTCGATGCCGAAGATGATCGCTCGCAGATTACCCGCTGCGGCAACAAAGTCCATCGTATCATCGTCATCTTTGTCGAACGAGATTGAGGGTTGCGGTTCCCCAGACCTCGATGCAGCCGCTTGTTCCTGTGATAGTCGTGTCACCAGACGGTCGAGGCTATCTTTGAACACAACAAAATTCTCGACCGCAGACCATACTCGTTGGCCGTTCTGGGCGATTGCCTCGTCAACCACGCTGGCTTCTTGCTCAAGCGCGTCGTAAGAGAGTGGTTCGGGCGCTTGCTTGTCTCTCCACATATCCTCCATCTTCGCCAGTCTCTCGACATCCTCTTTGAAGACCTTGTCGAACACCTGTTTCCCGAAGGCGCCTGAACCCATCAACGCTCTGATTTTCTTCAGGGCCTGTGCCTCCTCCTTTAGTTTTTTGATCTCTTCAGCATTATCTGCATCTTCCGATGAGTCCAATGCAGCTGCCTCATCTTCACTCACACCGAATAACTCCGGCAGGAGATAACTTTTAGCCCATACGATGCAGTGGATCGGTTGACTGGGCGTAGAACGGATCGTACAGACAGGATACGAAATGGGAGTGGTCTTGGGAGTGCAATCGTAGCAAGCAGTCTTGCCCTTCTTGATAACCTGCACTTGACCTCTGAAGCCCGTAGTGCCTGATTCAACCAAGGGCACATCGACAGCCAAGCACATTTTGTTGACATGCCGTCTGGCGTCCATGTTGTCGAGCGCATTGAAGACCATGTTGAAGCCCGAAAACCACTCCAGGTTGAATTTTTTGTCTTTTATATTGGCATGGTGCGCGAATAGTGTGACATTTGGGTTGAACTTCTGAGCGATGTCCTTCGCGACCAATGCTTTGGGTTTCTTGATATGTTCATGTCGGAAGAGAAACTGACGGTTCAAATTGCTAAGATCGATCGTGTCAAGGTCTATGATATGTATCTCACCAAAACCGGTGAGGACGAGGTTCTTGAGCAGCTCGCAACCAATGCCGCCTGCGCCGACAAGGAGGACGCGGGACTGTTTGGTCGCAAGGTCAAATTCAGGTTCCTTCGGCGAATGTTGGAGAGTAACTCACCTCTTTCACGAGTCGCTGTGTTGCGCCCAGAGACTGGCGGGTATACTTGTCGCGAGGCATCGGGCTGGCTTGGAAAGAGGACGAAGTTGAGAAGTGGTAGAGCGAAAGGGATGCGCCTAGGGATCAAACGAGATCTAATGGAGGCCGACCATGTGAGAAAGCTTTGACACAAGAATGAAGACACGGCTGAAAGTGAAAAGGAAAATCGAAGTAAGGTGGGACTGAACGCTCATTGACGCCGGCAAGGAGGAGGCAATCAGATACCAGACCAAATTGTTGTTGGGGACAAGATACGGATGTGAGAGATGGGTGTATGTTTTTGCTCCAGGACGGCCAGGATTTGAAGCCGCTGCGCTGCAGGCCGCAGACGCAGCAACGATGACTTCTGGGTTTGCGAAGGGAATGTGATAGCTGAACCCTGTAGCAGTGGCTTTCCAGAGTTTCCCCAATCAGGGGCGACTTGGAGGCTCTTTGGGGGGTCCCGATTGGGGACGCTTGGTGCCCCTCGGGCTAGTGGTTTAGGCCTGGGCTTGGGCTGGTGGGCTTGCGTTAGTGGGAGAATAGGGGCTAGTGGGCTTAGGGTCACAAGTGGTCCGCCCAACTGCACAATCTCGTCATGCAGCCTGCAGCAACAGTCGCGTGGGATTAGACCTCCGTTTGCCTCCATTTGGCCAGATGAGAAACACGACACATTGAACCAAATTTTTTTTCTATTCCGGCAAACAACTGATCGACAAGAGCCAGGGCACAAATGAGCTTCTTTACCAAGTGGTCGATGACTAGCATATCGAAAGCAATGATCAACATCAATGGCATGCTGCAATAATAACAAGGCTTCTCTGGTGCTGTCGGTCAATTGTGGCTCGAGGAATTATCTACCATCAGTCTCGGGTCTGGTCAAGCAGTGCCCATCAATCCTGGTATCCAGGCGTCTACCTTGAGCTATCCAATCTTCACTGAACCGCCCAATGAAGATGTCTGACGACGAAGCCGACCCCGAACTCCTGGCCCTCCTCCGGCAGTCTTTGGGTCTGGGTGGACATGAACACGCCACCGCACCACCGTCGACGGGCGTCTTAGAGTCGGCGGAATACATCTACGACAACGCCATCGACGTCGCCATCTCCAGCACCGGCACCAAGAAAGCAGCAGAACACATCTACCGTCTCATGCAATCGAAAGGTTACTCCACAGGGACATGGTCAACACATGAGCTGCACCCCAAACTGTCCGAAACCGGCGAAGAGGAGACAGTGAATTTCATATTTACCATGAACCTACTGAATTTCTCCTTTTGGTCCGAGCTGCCTGAAAGTGAGAGGTTCGCAGTTGAGTACAGGGGCCGGAGATGGACGGGATACTGGTCTCTCATCGCGGCACTGCAAAGAGCCTTGAATGAAGGGTATACGATCACCAATCCGCACTTCTGGCAGGACCGTGATGCTTGTCCGGATAGTGTCTTTGAACACATCTTCCGGTCCGCCACGCATGAGCCGATACCTTTGCTTAAAGAACGGATCGCCATCCTCCGCGAAGCCGGTTCCATTCTTTACGAGCACTTTGGCTGCAAACCAGCGAACATCATCCGTCGCGCGAACGGATCCGCGCCAGTCTTGGTGAACATACTGGTCGAATACTTCCCCAACTTCCGGGACGTTGCCTGTTTCCAGGAGAGGGAAGTGCGTCTGTACAAACGCGCGCAGATCCTGGTGGCAGATCTCTGGGCGTGTTTCCAGGGTACGTCCTACGGCGCCTTCTCCGACATTGACTCGTTGACCATGTTCGCCGACTACCGCATCCCGCAAATGCTGCAAGGACTGCAGTGCGTGATGTACTCGCCCCGGCTGGAATCAAGGATCTCCCGTCAGGAGATGCTGAAGGCGGGAGCGGAGATGGAAATCGAAATCCGAGGGTGCAGCATCTGGTGCGTGGAATTGATTAAGAAGGAGATTCTGAGAAAGCATCCCGAGGCCAAAGGAAAGGTCAATGCCATCTTGATAGATTTCTTCTTGTACGATACGTGTAAGGAAATGGAGAAGGGCGGTGAGATAGAGGAGTTATTGCCACATCATCGCACGAGGTCGATCTTCTACTAGATATCTTGGGCCTTTTAGATAGAGCATTTGGATAGACTCTGGCTCTCTGGCTCTAGGGGTGGAACTTTGATAGCATAGGAGTTTCTTGGATAGATGCTGCTCCGACTGGCTGTCCTGCTTTGCTACCAATTCGGGGGTCTGTCAAATTAACATAGCATTGCGCCTGCTCTTGCCCTTCTCCCTTTGGGCCACACACAGATTTTGGATGTTGGATTTTGCTCTTGTCCAAGAACCAGGGCCATACTCCCCAAACGCGTAGTTACTATCATTTTTCTCTCTGTGGGCGCTGAATATTCCGAACGGAGGCGGGTCCCATTCAAAAGTTATTACACTCTCCAACCTCAGCCTCAACCGGCGTACCAGGCCCTTTCGACCTCGACATGGTAAAAGGTGCCAATACTTTCTTCGCCTCCCAGATCCGCCATGCCAAATTCTCGACTTTCCCATCCGCTTTGACGACTTCTGCCGCAAATTCAATCCCGAACATCTGATGAATGACATATACCACGCGCTTGGCATATTTTCCATCACGATCGACGAGGCTTCCAAACGGTTCTTGGGCCGTATGTGGCGCAATCTCAGGGTCGCGGTCAAAGCAGTTCTGCACGATCGGCAAGAGAGCGCTTTCAATCGTATGGCGAATCACTGCATCATTCTGAAGAGACATGGGTGTCGACAAAGAGATGCTGGCGTCGAAGGACTCCAGATCATCGTCGCTGAAGCGTGGGATACGCACTTCGAAAGGCAGAGAGATAGCCATGACATTGTGCTTGCCGTTGTGATGGTATCGGAATTCAAAGACACCTTGGGTCCACCATAATTTGTCGCCAGAGAAGACCATTTCCCCAGTGAAGCATTCCTTGATTTCGCCCGTTTCGGTAGTCGTCGTGCTCCTAACGTCGCTAGATAGGATACCGACCTCGGAATTTAGGAGTTCGTACTCATCGCGGTTCGTGGCGATCCATCTTCCGGACGAGGACAGTCTTGTAACTTCACGCGAGTTGTTATCTGACACCATGTACAGACCGACCCAGTCCTTCTTCCCATGATTGAGCGGTGCGGTCCATCTGACTTTGATGGGCGCACCATATTCGAAAAGGAGTGCTTTGAAATCGTTTGTGCGTTCTGCCGGAAGCCTGGCTTGTTCGGACTCTCTATCGCTCGAGCGTTGAGAGTAGACGAGAGAGGATGCCGGCGTTCCGTCGATCTCCAGTTTGTAGTCTTTCGGATCCAGCCCAGCAAGTTCCGGCTCCAACCGTGTCATGGTCAAACGATGTGGGTTCTTAGGCAAAAGGCTTTTGGTATCCTCCACAATGCTGGTCACGCCCGCCGCAAGTTTAGGTTTCGCCGCGTCAAAGAATTCTTCCAGGACATCAAAGGCGTCGCCTAGCATTTTGTCCATTCCGTCTTGCCATTGTCGCAAAGGTGGTGGAAGTGATCTGCGTAGACTCCTGACTAGTCCGGCATCTTGTCGAAGGCTCCTCCCGTACAGTTTTTGCATATGCGGCCTCTCCACGAATTGAATAAATGCCAAACTCAATGTATGGCTGAGCAAGGCGAGGCAGAACATGGCTTTGCTGCTGGTGATCAGAGCTATGCCCCAGACTCCTGCTGTTCCAAGGACTCGCTCTGGATTGTTGAGGAAGCGATAGATGCCACCGTACGTCAACTTAGAGGATTGATCGAAGAAGAAGTCTCCAAAAAACCAACCAAACTCTCCAAGCTGGTCGTAGATACTGAATGAAACCCAAATTTGCAGAGCAATCAGTCCTAGTCCGATGACATGTTTGGGCAGTGCCATTCCGCCGTCCCAGTTCAAAGGTATACGGTACATCTTCCAGGCAGCAGCGGCAAAACTCGCATAACAGACAGTCATGCTGAGGTGATAGATGCCTTTCCATTGTCTCCAAGCTTCGCCCGTACTCTCACCGTACTTCAGAAAGTGGCGGGTCCATTTCTTCTTTGACGATTGTCTGTTTAGGAAATAACCAATACCCACGGAGTACCAAATCCGCCAAATGGTGGCGTTTGTGACGAAAATTATCTGATAGAATCTTGTATTGGGTGTGAGGACAGTCAAAGCAAACAAATAGAACTGCAAAAGAAATACTGCAGTGTCTGTGGTTCGATAGAGATCGATGTTGTGTATGCCCAGTAGGTTGTGCGTTTGGGATGGTTGCGCATGCGCCGGACTGGGCCACACTTCTGCCGTAGAGCTGTGATCTGCCAGAGATTTTTCCATTTGCGCTGCCGCCGGTAGCTCGTTGATGGCTCTTCTGGGAGGCGGAGAGTTGTAAGTGCGGTCGATATGAGGGCTTTCGACCATGACAAGGAAAGCAAATTGAGCAGCATGAGCAATGATTGAGATAAAGAGGACCTTATAGCTAGCAGCCATCAAGGAGATTCCGTAAAAGCCAGCGTAACCGATGCTGTACATTGCTGAGAGTTGCTGTTAGCTGGACACCAAGCAAGGATGAAAATGTAATGGGCGTGTCAGAACTCACGGTGGGGAGCCATCTCAAAAACTCCGTCGAAGGTCAACTCTTGATCGATAAGGAAGAAAAAGTCACCCCAGTACCAGGCGAAGTCTTTGACCACACGATGTGCGTCCAATTTCACCCAGATGTTAAAGAGGAACAGGGACATGCCTACAATCCATCGAAGCGTTGTGAGGAGGATTGGCTCGGCGGCAGGGATATGGGCGCAGGCTACTGCGAAAAGCATGTAGGTGGTGAAGTCGCACATTAGAATCAAGTCGACGAGGCGACGAAAGATCAACCACGTGTTGTACTCCAGGGGAGCAGTATCGAAATCGTAATCCGTGGGGATCTTCGTTTCCAATTCTCTCTTGACGAACGCGCGGAGTTTGGGATGAGGATTTTCGCCGTTGGACGCCACCGGGAACAGCTTCGATTTTCGGGCCCACCTTACCAGCAGCTTGTGATGAGATTGCATGTGAAGGAGGTAGCCAATGCCAATATTGTACCCGGCTCTCCAGCACAAGAAAAGGGTGGCAAGAACTGGTTTTCTCAAGGCTGAAGGTAGGTACCATGCCAAAAGGGCGTGAAGCGACAGAATCAGGAGCACGCAGATGTCTGACAAGTTCTTGGGTTCCTTGGGAGACAGGAGCTGGGAAACCATGTCATGGGTATGTGGAACAGTGAAGACTAGAACGACGTATGAGAGATCGGATCGTTAAGCAACGTAGCGCAATTGCAATATACGTACCAGTCCCATCGAGAGTGCGGCCAAAGGTCTTGCGATCTTTTTCATCTTTGGCTTCCTTTTCTTCAAGGGCGTTCAACTCAAGCACCGCTTTTCTAGCATCTTCTTGAGTATTTGCTCTGATGGGAGCGTTTCTCTTCCGCAGGTTCTCCGTTGCGGAGTCCACCGATGATGGTTTGGCCATGAATTCCGTCATGAGTGTGGGTGTTCACCGCTGATGGTGAAAATATTTCTTACACTGCAATTGAGAGCGACACAGAGTGGAAGGGAGAGATGGCTAAGGCTGTTTGTGGATTGGGTCTTCATTCGAATCCATGTTACTGTCCACATGGACGCGGGGTTGAAGCAGTCATTTGAGAGGCAGTGACAGTTAGACCATGTGTAGTGAAGGAAAGCAGAGGTTGGCCAAGCTGAGTTGTGTGAGTTGAGTGAGGTGTTCTCCCGCTCATTTGCGGTGTCCAATCGCGGTTGCCCGCAGCGTGCCCCCCATAAATGACGACACTTTTGCCTGGAGAGCCCAAGATCTCCCATGGATCTCCCTCACGCCGTCGACTGCGTTGTGACGGAAACATCATCCAGACGCAATAAGAAAGCACACAATGTCCATGTGCCGATATACAGGGATGCCAAAGGAGGCCGAAGGGGAGGGGGGGGAGAACAATTCGACAAGCATTCCCCTGGTCCGTGGGGGAAAGAGGGCAACAGGGGGTTGAAGACGAGGCTGAGGAGTGGCAAGGCTGCTGATCAGTGATCAGGCCATGCCCGTTGGCTTCACGGCCAATCGGCACTCCCCCAAGCCATTACCAATCCATCTGCTTGTGCATACTTTTTGCCAGAACCACGCCTGCTCGAAAACCTTATGCCTTGCCCCCTCTATCTAAACCTCCTGGTCCGATTTACTTCCTCCCTGCCGAGTTCTTTCGTTCCCTACGAATGGCGCCCTCTTTTGAAGAGCCGGTCACCGAGGCCCTAGAACACCCTCTCAAACGAAAGCCCGATCTTGTCGCCCCAGAGCCAGGTGAGCGACTGTCCTTGTTGTGTATATCTGATGTGCGTCTTGCTGACTTGGAGGCTTAGAACACTGCCCTGGTCCCGAATCCGAACAAGCAGGCAAAGGCGACGCATGCAACGGCTGTCCCAATCAAGCAATCTGCGCCTCCGCACCCAAAGGCCCCGACCCAGATATCCCTCTCATTACCGAACGACTCGCTGGAGTAAAACACAAGATATTGGTGCTGTCAGGGAAAGGCGGAGTGGGAAAGTCTACGTTCTCATCCCTCCTATCGCAGGCGTTTGCCGCCAACCCTGACTCGACAGTGGGCATTATGGACACGGATATCTGCGGCCCCTCGATACCGAAAATGATGGGCGTCGAGAATGAAACCATACACGTTAGCAATGCCGGATGGAGTCCGGTCTGGGTGACAGATAACCTGGGAGTTATGAGCATTCAATTTATGTTGCCCAACAGAGACGATGCAGTTATATGGAGAGGTCCAAAGAAGAATGGTATAATAAAACAATTTTTGAAAGATGTCGAATGGGGCGAGTTGGACTACTTGATTGTCGACACGCCACCGGGCACATCAGACGAACATCTGTCGGTTAACTCATTTCTCAAGGAGTCCGGGGTGGACGGTGCGGTGGTGGTGACCACTCCACAAGAAGTGTCCCTCCTTGACGTGCGAAAAGAGATTGATTTCTGTCGAAAGGCAGGGATTCGTGTCCTCGGGCTGGTTGAAAACATGTCTGGCTTCGTCTGTCCCAAATGCACCCACGTGTCTCAGATCTTCCGAGCAACGACAGGAGGAGGTCAAAAGTTATGTCAGGATATGGGCATACCGTTCCTAGGGTCAGTACCCCTCGACCCTCGGATAGGCATGGCATGCGACTTTGGCGAAAGCTTTATGGACAGTTTTCCCGACAGTCCGGCTTGCAAAGCCTTACGACAAGTGGTGAGATCGGTGGGCCAAATGATTGGTGAGGACCCCGACCAAGTTCTTCCCGACGGACCGATATAGGAGCGCAGCCGTCCACCATCCACTATTCTTCATAATGCGAGCTCGTTGCTCGGTCTGCAGCGGAACGCATGCGGGGGATTGTGGTTCGCTTGCGCAGTCCAAAACCTCACCTCTCATGGTAGAGGATCGATCTCCCATCTGTCGCGCATGAAAACCCTGAGGCAGGAGAAAGCATAGCGTCAATGTCTGGCGGCAGATGAAGCTAATGGGGGAATGGGGCCCGTAGGATGATGCCGCGTGTTTCTGTGCACTGTCACCGTCACTCTATCACTGGACGCGTGCGCGTGCAAGGCCCAGTGCCGATGCGAGCTTCTGGGAGCCTGGACACCAACTGGGAACCATACTCGTGTACGAGGCAGGCGTTCCTACACAGTACCGGGTACAGAGAGTGCAGATGGGCACCGATGGGACACTAGCACGAGGCGCTGCCAAGCCACCCTGGCCCGTAAGGGGTTAGTCCCACAGTCGTGCAGCGCAGCGGAAAAGGGAAGATCAAGAAGATGAAACTCCAACTTCTACGCCTTCTGTTTCAGCTACACCCTTTGACCCTCTTGACCCCTTTTTCCTCCCTCCAGACCCATCATTTCTCATGCGCTCAACTGACACCCACTGATCCCATTCCTTGGTGCCCGCTCTCAAGCCCTTAAGCCCTTCAGCCTCGACAAGCAAGCCAAGCGGCCTCCACAACCAGTGGCCTTAACGTCACACTGCCACCTCCATGCACTCCTGTCCGCCCCGATGGTTGGCTCCTTCGACGTTCCTTCAGATCTGGCCAGTCACAGATCCATGCCGTCAGTGGAGAGCTCCCTCTTTGACACCCAGATCCCCTCTTTGGCTCCAGGCCTCAATTGACCTGTTGACCACAATCCTGAGACATGCAGATGGCGTGGCCCAAGACTGTCTAGCACAATTCGAGACAAGGCCGCGCATGTACGCAGCACCACTTCTATTACCTACATAGGTACTGTTGCTGTGACTTCTTGTTAAAATGTTGGCCTTCCGTCCATTTCTTCACATTTCCTATCTCTGTTGGCCCGCGAGCCTCGTTCCTTTCCTTTTCGCGTAGTCTATCCTTTCTGTTTGGTTCATATCGAGGGCAGGTCCTTCACTATATTCTTTCGTCAACCGCCCTCAAAATTCAACCTGACAGATTTGTGCCCAGGGGGCTGACCTATATCGATCTTTTTCTTATTCTGCTTCTTGTCCTGCTTTCAAGGCGCTGATCGACATTGGCAATCAATATGCTTCAAATCCACCACTTGCTCTTGGTGATTCTTTTCTTGACAACCACCTTTGCAAGCCCCGTCCAGAAAAAACAGAAGCGCTCCTTCAAAGTCCCTCGGATACAACAGCACAACTACAAGCCAAATGGCAAAGCCGCTTATCGAAGAGCATTGTTCAAGTTTGGATTTGGCGACATCGAGTTCTTGCCTGGTGGAGAGGTGGCTACGAGAATCAAAGCAGCAAGCGAGGCCCAGATCAACAACACGGCAAGCGAGGACGGCGAGACAACTGCCTCACCGACACAGAATGATGCCCAGTTCCTGTCTCCGGTCAAAATTGGGGGACAAACTCTGATTATGAATTTTGACAGCGGCTCGTCGGACACGTATGATAGGCCCTTGTGTTTTCAAATTTTGTTTTTTTTTGACATACTGTTACTGACACAGATACCAACCTACAGATGGGTCTTCAACACCAACCTCCCCACCAATTCCCAACAAGGTCACACAATCTATGACCCCAACCAATCACCCACCTTCCAAAACACCCTGCAGGGCAGTACCTTTAACATTTCCTATGGCGATGGCTCCTCTGCCTCCGGTCCCGTGGGTGTTGATGAAGTCGATATCGGTGGCGCCACTGTACCTGCTCAAGCAATCGGCCTCCCCGACACCGTGGCCGACAGTTTCGTGACTGACTCGGCGTCAAACGGCCTCGTCGGGCTCGCCTTCTCGCAACTCAATACCATCCAACCCACCCAACAGAAGACATTTTTTGACAATGTCCTCCCGGATCTCACGCTCCCGGTCTTCACCGCGCAATTGAAATCTGGGGAGGTAGGTTCCTACGAGTTTGGCAACATCGACACTTCGGCATTCACGGGCCAACTGAGCACCACACCTGTCGATTCCTCGAATGGATTCTGGGAAGTCGATTCCACGACCGCCGCCGTGCAAGGGCAAACCGTCAACATTGCCAACGGCAGAGCAATCCTCGACACGGGCACCTCGCTCATGCTCGTGCAGGATGAAATGCTCGTCGCATACTGGAGCACCGTGCAAGGTGCACAGCTCTCTCAAGATGCGGGTGGCATCATCTTTCCATGCAACACGCAATTGCCGGATTTGCAAGTCGCCATCGGAGACAATTATATGGCTACCGTTCAGGGGGACGGGATGAACTTTGCGAACGTTGGCACGGACACGCAGACCGGGGAGGAGTGTGAGTAGCCATATTTCCCTTAAACCCCCATTCCTCGATATTTCTTCTCCGCCCGTCATTTGACATGTATATACCACATACCTGAACCGCTCCGTTCGCTGGGAAAACGTGACCGCTAACAGTTTCATGCGATGCTAGTTTGCTTCGGCGGTCTTCAGTCCAACCAGGGCCTCCCCTTCGCCATCTACGGCGACGTCTTCTTCAAGTCTCAATTCGTTGTCTTTGACGGCTCGGCGCCTTCAGTCAGCATTGCACCGCACTCTTAGAACTTTTTTGGAATGCGGACGGACGGACGATCGTTGCATAGCGCTGGAGTTTGGATGCCATCTTTGCATGAGCCCTCGGGAATTGTAGAGGTCAAAAATTAAATTTTCGTCGTCGTGCGTCTCGTATTATCTAGCATTGCATTGTATCACGAACATAACATACCATGACACGGCATAGCATGGCCTAGCATAGTACAGCGATATCCATCAGAAGGGATATGCGTATGACTGGGTGGATAGATGGGATGGGATGGGATGCATGACCCCAACAAAAAGAAAAGATATACTCATGAATATACTCCGTCCTTTCTATAAGGGAGGGAGTGACGGAGAGAGAGGCACAGCTCTCTTTTTCATACTGAGATTTTCTTTTCCTTCAAAAATATACTCTTTCCTTCGCGCATATGCACATACACACATGCTGAAAGACATGTATTCATACCACATGTTCTACATATCCCGTAAGTGCAAGGGCAATTGTAGGTTTCAGGTCCTCTCCATTCCTCCCCTCGTCCTCGTCCTCGTATTTCTTTTCGTGGTTGTAAGGTATAGAGAGATAACAATTGAGGCCAAGTTTCCCCTATCTGTGCAACGCCAACGCTATGCAACAATTAAAAAAAAAAAAAAAAGAGAAAAGCAACGTTGTCATCATGACGGACGCTTCGTGAGACTCGTGCCATAATGAACTGAGTCACGCTCATAAGTATGAACAAGAAAAAGGAAATAGACGTAGACCTCGAAAGTCCCCGCTAGAAATGACCCAGTGACGACCTGATTATGACAATGGACAGTAGGGCCGATTCTTTCTAGATGTAAAATTTACCCTTCACAGGATGGTCCAGCACCCGGTCACTAAAGCAACAGTGTCCGAAGCTGGTTCCGTCCTCGTCCAGATCACCACTCTGGAAGCCATAGGCGTAAGGATCGTGGATACCCAGGTCCATGACTTTGCCTGCGCCTGGCACAGCACCCCAATTCAGTGGCCTGAGAACCATCTCGTCGCGCTCGTTCTGGTCGGTGCCGGGTGGCAGATGGCACGCGGCGCTGATGGCCATGGAATTGCTCCCTATCAGAGGCATCCCAAAGGGGAGCTTTCTAAGCGCCGTGGCAAAGAGGAAGATGAGTAGAATGAAGCCCAGGAAGAGGAGAAAAAGCATGCCTATCGGCGAGTACGCCACCGTGGTAATCTCGTCTTGCATGGGCACTGTCCCGTCGCGAGGGATGATGGCGATATTGGCGAGGAAGACGCTCTGCGAGACAAGCCAGTGCATCAAGCCTGAGCCAGCAAGCAATGGTAGGCCATATTTGAAGGGCAAGTTGAGGAAATAGGTCGACTTTTGCTCGCCCCTGGCATCGCTGACACGCAGATACTTCCGTCCCCGACCAGCCGTAACACTGAAGCGCATGACTTCGCGCGAGAGGAACATGACTGTGAACAGGCTGTTGTAGCAGACGTAGAGGAAGGAGAACAATGTTTGCGGAGCGTTGGCGATGAGTGTAGATATTGCGATAGAGCTGTTGCCATAGCCCGGTAAGTTCCACCCCATAATCAGGTTCTGGGGCCGCACCGTGTTCAAGCCGATCGACCACGCATTCTGGATCGTCTTGTCGCCCTTCAGATTCTCGATACCGAGAGCTAAGCAGACCGCGGTCCCAGTGCCCGCGAATGCGAACAATCCGAAGAGAAAAGCCCATTGCTTCCAGGTCGCGGCTTCGAAGAACCGATGCTGTCGAGGGTCATATCTCATGGGCATAGATTTATATCCAAGTTTGGAGGAGGCGACGATACTCGAGTGGCTGGCTAGACACATTCCCTCCGTGGTAGATTCGGGGTGACGCAGGAAAGATTGCAGTGCATCCCCAACGGTCACCAGGGGAGACTCTCCCAACCCGAAAGTGACGTAGGCAATGCCAGCAACTTTGACAATGTTAAAAAACAGGACGACTCCCATAAGGATGAGGGAGAAATGTAGATGGCATTGGGATTCGACGGGTTCAGAGAGGCAATGATCGACTTCAAAGCCGCCTGTGGACCACTGATCTGCTATATCGACCAGTTTCGGCGTGATCTTCGAACACGGGACGAAACCCCATTCATTCTCACAGCATGCGTGTGTTTGATTGACGACATCGGGGTTGTCGCAGATCCACGCGAAGGCATTGTACTTGCTGGTGATGACCTTGGGAAATTCATTGTCGGCGATCTTGAACAGTGAACCCCCACTTGCTGGAGGATTCTTGACCACTACGACCACGTTACGGCGATTCTCGACAAAATCCCGTGCATAG